ATCTGCACTTTAGAATTAGGCATTAAAACATAACGAGGGAATTTAAAACTGCTGATAATTGTAAGTTGAGAGCGAAGTTCAATCCATGCTGAGTATAATGCTTGTGGTAGACTCTCATCCCAATGCAATTTGTGTTTCCATAAGGTTTGCATGAAAATTTTAGCCTTGGTGATGATAGGTCCAATTAATCCGATTGGATCATAAAAACGGGCTATAGTTGAGAGAACAGTACGTTTGTTGATTTGCTGGCTACCTACCACTGGAGTAAATGAAAATAAAAAATTGTCGTGGTTTGGATCCCATACTAAACCTAATGCTTTAGTAATATCAGAACCATCTTTAAATTTCAATAATTGTACACGTTCGGAGTCAGCGATACCACACAATACTCTTGGATTATTGGAACACCATTTTCTGATCTGGAAACCACCCTTTTTTAATAATTCAGTAGTTTGCCTTCTAATGTTGATTACTTCATCCACGGTGTCGCCGCCTGACATTAAATCATCTACATAAAAATCTCTGAGAACGATTTTAGAACCCAATGGGTATGATTTCTCTTCATCGCGAGCCAGCTGATGCATTGCTCGAATAGCTAAAAATGCAGCTGGCCTTGTTCCATATGTCACAGTGTCCAATTTGAATACCTTTACGTCATCATCGAGATTACTTCTCCACAAAATGCACTGAAGATATTCATCGGGATGTGTAACACGCACGCATCGATACATTTTACAGATATCTCCACAAAGAGCAATTTTAAAATATCGGAATCGAATAATTAATTCAAAGAGTGTGGATTGAATTGTAGGTCCAGACATCAGCAGATCATTAAGAGAAAATCCGGTGGATGTTTTAGCTGACCCATCGAAAACCACACGCAATTTTGTAGTTGTACTTTCATTTTTTAGCACACAATGATGAGGTAAAAAACACGTTGGAACACCTGATGGTAATTGTGCTGGTGACATGTGCTTTAAATTTATATACTCATTAATAAAATCAACATATTGAGTTTTTAAATCAGCATTACGTTGCAACTTTCTTTCTAAACTGTGAAATCGTTGAAGTGCATGATTATAAGAATCTCCGAGTGAGTCGATATTACGCTGCTTAGGAAGTAAAACAGAATATTTACCAGAATCTAACCGAGTAAAATTTTGTTTGAAATGGGTTTCGCAATATGCGTCTTCGTCTGTTAGCGAAGAGTGCGCGTCAAAACAATTTTCTATTTCCCAAAACCTTTTTACAATTTCATTTAACGATTTTTCATTTTCAAATTCCAATTCAGTGGTTGATTTCTTAGCTATAGCTAACGAAAATGAGTGATTGTATTTTGGAATAATACCGCCACCTGATGCTATCCAACCCAGCCTTGTCTTCTGTAACATAAAATTATTTTCCAGACGAATTTGTCCAATACACAATAAGTTAAAAAATAAGCCGCCACCTAGTAACACATCGATGCTCTGTGATTTGAAAAACATCGGATCAGCTAAGGTGATGTTGTTTGGAATTGACCAATCTGAAATGTTTACGTTAAAGTTTGGTTGAGGATCTGTGATAGTTGTTGTAACGATCGCAGTGCATGAAGTTGAATAATCGCCTGAGTGCGATTTTGTAAATAGCTCAACAACCTTGTTTGTTTCAAGTGTAGAATCCCCTATGCCTGATATGGTTGTGTATGTTGTTTTCGTATTTAACTGCAGCAAGTTGACTAAACGAGAAGTTATAAAATTGAGTTGAGACGCAGAATCGAGAATTGCTCTACATGGAACGAAAGTTCCTGAGGAATTTTTGATGAGAATGATTGCAGTAGCTAGTAGCACACTATTTTCAGATAGAAATTCTGGGGCTTTAGGAATAGACGTTACAGAGGACAGTGAGAGCAGCGACGTATTTTTTGAAGTTGATGGCTCTTCCGACCGATTTGCTATATGTATTTCAGGTGCAACGCCTTTCGAATTAATTGGAGATACAGATTGCATATGAAGCAATGAATGATGCTTTGAAGCACAATGACGACAATGTCCAGACTTGCATTTATTCAATGCGTGACCCTTGCGTAAACAATTTAAACATAACAGCAACTTCTTTGCTTCTTTATATCGAAGCGTTGGGGAAAGATTTATAAACAGTGTGCACTTTGTAATATAGTGATCCTTTGAGTCGCAAAATACGCAAGAGATAGTACCCATATTTGCTGCCAAATAACTATATTTTTTAGTAATTTTCTTTCCTACCTGGTGGCTAGGTGTTAGGGAGACCATAGCACCGTCCATATTCTCCAATACACGACACCTTTTTTCTAAGAAGTCAGTCATCATTTCCCACGTTGGCAAATCATGGACGGACAACTCTTCTTCCCATTTAGCCTTTGATTTAGAATCGAGCTTGGCACTGATGATTTGGATCAAGAAATTGTCTGCGATTTGTTCTTTGGTGCCCAATGTTTGTAAAGCACGCATGTGCAAATTGATTCGATCACTAAGCTCTCTTAACTTTGTCGATGATTCATTCGATATATCCCTTGCCCACAAAATTTCCTTGACGTGTGCCTGTAAAATTAAAGGTTTATTATCAAATCTCTTTTTAAGTAATTCTAAAGCCTTAGCATAGTTTGCATCACTTAAACTCAACGATCTAATGATGTCAAATGCTGCGCCCTTTACGCTTGAAAATAAATGTTGTAGTTTTTCTGTTTCAGATAGTTCTTGGTTATTGTGAACTAAGTTTTCAAATATGGCATGAAAACTAGGCCACTCAGTATAATTTCCATCAAACTTTGGTATTTGTAATTCTGGAAGCCTAATTGTATTCGCCATTGACCTGATGTCTTGCTGATTCTCACCTGACGATTTATGTATTGTTGTAGAGCAACTTGGATTGAATGTACGTCTGACTTGAAGCTCATGTTGAAGTTTTGATCGAACTTTCAAGTACAACATATCGAAATCAAACCGGACCATTCCATCAAATTCGGATATGTCCAATTCCTCAAGAGTAGATTGAGTATTTTCAAATTTATTGGCCAGACGCTCCACATGCTCCAGCCGAACAGAAATATCGGAATCACACAAACTGCTTAAATATTCAGGAGTCAGAGTCTCATTGAATGTTGTTAATTGAAACTTTATTGAAGTGGATCTTGATTTTAAGAGAATTTGTGAAGGCTCACTTGAGTGCTCTGTTGCCCCATTTACTTCAACTTCGTCTATCATGATCAATAATTTAACTCGTGTAAATTTCAAATGTAGCGTGTTCGTATTATGAATTAGTTGCACGATTGCTCCGAAAATTGCGTTTTGTATTTGCCCGAATTGACAAATATAAATCTTAAACACGACACTTACTAAAATTTATTTTATGACACGATAGCATAAAATAATATTTGTTCATATACCGATCCAAAATAAAGAAATGCACGATAGCACAAATTGTTTATATATGTCCGATCTGCCGAACTTTAAACTGAAATTAATTGAATATATTTTATGACACGATAGCATAAAATAAAGTTTGCACATAAATGCAGCGAAAGTAAAAATAGAAAGAATGCACAATAGCAATCAAAATGTATGTTAAACTTGTCCGAGTTGACAAACTTCATCGAAAAATGTTTCCAAAATTAAAATGCATGTGCATTATAAAATGTTTTGTACGAAATTAAATCCGAGTATATTTTTTCAATCCGATCACGTCGGGGTCACCAATGATTTGATATGATAATATTTTTTATCACTTTGTAATTATTTATTTATATATTGTTTCGAAATGATAATATTTTATATAAATGTACATTCTTATTTATTTTACAAAATTTGAAAATTTATAAACGAGTGAACCAAAGAAACAAATGCGTGCGTCTTCGCCAACGATCAACCGGTAAGAGAGAGTTGCAAATTTTGATACAAAGCATAAAAGGCAAAAAAGCAAGAACAAAGATTTAATAAAGCAAAAATGAAATGCAAATCACCTTTCAAACAAACAGTGTTGCAGTGTAAAACAATGTTAAAAATAATTATTACTACTCTAAACAGTATGCTAATACAAAAAATTGTATACACTTCACCAAAGATTAATATTACTATTTTAACTGATGGTTTGATTATAAATAAATGTTTGGTAATTTAAATTTTATGTTTAACTCAACATGATTTGTCACTTAAATACTTTATGCGCAGTGCTTTTTCTGGTGTTTCATTTGCTGTCAACTAATCATTGAGAGTTAGTATACTAGATACATTGTTTTGGCATTTATTGATTACGTTTGTTTGCGTTTGGGAAATGTTCGCAATTTCGCAACGTTAATTACGTTGTTCTTCATTGTCATTCTTTCGAGTACACATTCAATGAATGCTTTTCGAAGTTAAATTTTCTTAATAATCACATGTCAATTCTTCAAAATATCGTTGAAATGAATTTTTGGCTGATCATACAGCTGTTACGGTTATTACCAGATGCCCATATTTAGTGGTCTTTCCAAATATTTTATATTTTTATAAAATTTTTAAAGTGCAAGTACCAAGAAGAAAATATACTCAAAATGAAAATAAATTTAATAGACTAAATGTTACTAAACATATTTTTTGGATCAAGAAATTAGCGCTTTAATTTGCGGGACTTTCTTACAAAATACACTCTATAATTTTTTTAGTTTGTAATAAAGGTTGTTTGAAGAAAATTTAAAAGTGAAAAAATTATATGAATATGAATTTTACATATGTTTTTTAAATTAAAATAAAAATATTTGCTTTAATTCAATGTATTCTTATTATGTATTGAACTTGTGATAAAGCTAATTCTTAACATTCATTAAAAATGACACAAAAATTATATTCACCACACTTGCTTATTCAGCAGATGAAGACATTATTAAAATTATAAATACGTATTTCTTACATATACGAGTACATACAAGTATCTATATATATGTATATATGTATATATAGGTATAACTTTATAAATAAAAAAAGAGAAAAGTGACATAAAATGTTGACATGCGTACAACAATAGCAAAAACAACAACAACAACAACGACAACGAAATGTATTTTGTTGAATATAACAACAACGAAAAAATATCCTTTGTTCAATATTTCCAAAGGATATTTTCAGAGTATAATATTTTTTTGTTTATTAATTACATAAAATGATTGGAAGACGAAGTTTTATTTGTTATTACTTTTAGTGTATAAATGTTATATTAATATTACACTTGAATTTTTTTTGTTGTATACTTTAATGTTGTTATTAAGTTATGATATTTAATTAAGACTAATTGTTTATAAATTGTTACACCATGAAAATCAATTATCCTGGCAACACACAAAATGTACATACAAACACATATACATATACATCCCAACTCATACTCGTATCTATCTCATTATATGATGGATGTGTATAGTATAGTTTTAGGGAGTATATTCACAATGTTACACACAGCACGTGTATTTGTGGATGCTACTTGGTAGTATATAGAAACTAGAATAAACAATCTAAAAATAGCTTCAATGCAATAAAATTTATATTCTATGGTAACAAGCAAACGACATCCTTTCTCATACGTAACTTGTTCGAAGAAAAATTTACATGTTCAAATTAATATACAATGTACAGAGACAGAGACAGATTTACTTGAGTTTAAATATGAAACTACGTCCTTTAACTGAAGGACGAATTACTTTCATAATCTAAAAGTGGTTAGATTGTAAATAATTTTTTTATCTATGAATATATTGTACAACTAGTTGATTATTAGTTAGTATTTTTAAATAATGTAAACGCTACTTTCATTATTTAAATATATATAGATTAATAAAATCATAGCATATCTACAATTAAACTATTACACACAGTTCTGTGTGTAATTCAATTTTTAATTAAAAAAATATTATAATAATATATAAAATAGTATCTATCTATAAAAAAAGGTAAAAATAATATAAATTTAGAAGTATTTGTTATTAAGCTTTGTTATAGTAAGCAGTTAATCTTCAAAATTCCAGAACTATTTTCAGTATCATTCAATGTATTAATTAAAAATTTTATTACATATTAATAAGAATTGTTTTTATTTGTATAAATTCGTTATAAAAATAAGTTTCAGAACATTCTGAAAATTTATAACTATTCTAATTGTAGGCTCTTTTTAAAGAGAAAAAATCCTTGTGTGCTATAAATTTAAAACTGTGCATGTTGCGCCTAAAGAAATTATATACAATTCAATAATATTTTTCGGAAGCGTCCCCCAACCTCCCATCCATAGGAAACAACCGTAATTATTAGCAACATTCGTGCAACAATTCTTGGCAATTCATAAACTACAACGAAATAGTTTTTTCGCACCTTACGTTGCAACGTAACCTAAAAACTTGGCTATGAATGAGTTCATTCATGACGTCAGTACGAGAACGTCAGGTCAGCGGCCTACTTTTCTTCAAGTTGCTTACATAGCACACCATATAGCACTACACTTGCATTTATTTACTGCTGTTTTTAAATATATTTGTATATATTATATCAGAACTTGAGTTATATCATTAAATTGCCTTCTGAAAAAAATAATAAAAACTGCACTAATACCAACATTATGAGTCCATCACTATACTTAATATTGGTATTAGTTGCAGATGCGCCAAAGCAATATAGTTCCATCTTTACAATGTGGTAAGCTTTCCACAAAATGGTTGATATGAAAAATTTTTTTTACTCATGACGCAGATGGGATTGTTTATCCTTCGAATGGCTTTGGGACTTTTTGGCACTCAAACAAATATTAAACAAATAATTTATTATTTTATTCAAATATATGGTATGTATATGTTTTCTTTTTTTTAAATATAATATACATAGGTAGAAGATTAAATGTCTAGATTTAATTAGTTTGTAATATGTATATATATAAAAACGTCACAGCTCATATTAATTTAATATTTTATAAAAGACTAAAATAGTTCTTATTAATGGTTTTTATATATTTTCAAATCCGGCTATGGGACCCTTTTTTTTAAAGTATTAATGTATTTATACTCTATATCATCAGGATCACGATCTAACATAAATTAATATTACTAAAACTATATCTACGTCATCCTATTTATTCTATCGTCTATATTGCACTAAGAACTATCGTTCTTATTAATTATTTGCCAATTATTACTTCACATATTATTGCATTAATTTTATTTATATTTACTTCAAAACTAAAAATATTGGGTCTTACCTTTTCATATTAATTTTATTAAATTTACACTAATCAGTGTCTAATTCATTTTGCGAATGATAAAACATGATTTATATTCGATAGTAATTTATATTTAATTACATATTTAACTCACATATAATACAGATTTTACACTTATTCTCTAATTCTTTTAATTCTTTTTTAATTTAGCTTATTAAGTAACGTTTAATTCGCTTTTAAAAGGACGAGACCTGACTAGTGATTCAGCAATAAGTGAAAGAAATCAAATTTTCACTAATATTTTAAATTTAATAATCAACATATATCTCCTAGAGTTCTATAAACTTGCTTCAACGGTTTTTCAATTTTTTTTATACTTTTTTAATATTTGAATTGTTCGAGGTTCTCAAAGTATTTATCAGTTGAAGAGATGAAGGCATCTTATTCACATCTATTTTCAGAGTTGTTATCTTATTTAGACGTCAAAACCGCTCAGCATATTTGGTATTCATACGACCACCGTTGAATCCTTCCATATAATGGATTACAGTGGCTCTATTCATATGGAGCATGCATATTATACAACTGTCAGCAGTTCCATATCGGATAAGTAGCTTTTAAAAATTGATTTAAAATAAAAATATTACAAAAAAATTATTTGGTGAAATTATTATTATCTTATCAAGGTGTCATCATATTTAAAAAATGAAATTATTTAATTTTTTAGCAAAGTTTTTGTATGTTTCAGAGTTTGTAATCTCATTATAGACATAATATTCATACCCAGTTTATCATGAAAAAATATCTGATTGCTTTCTATAGTGATGTAAAATTTTGATTATTGGAGACAGTAAATACTTCTCGTTCAGTCGTTATTAACCGGTTTTGACGTCCGCTAGATATAGGTTCTTAGCAAGATACTTGTTTGATAGTTTATCAGACCGTTTATTGGTGAAAACGAAAGGCCTATTAAATTATCTAAATTCGGCGGAATGGATTTATTCTTTATTCTTTTATACTAGGGTTTTTGGCGAGGAATGTGGTAGCAAAACGGCGAAAAATCGCTTATTGAGGTAAATGAAACTTATCTAATGACCTGCCACTGCAACCAACACGCAGAGTTGACTTCCACAGAACGAGGAACTCATATGATTAGTTTACAAATGAGAGGTTGATCTATCGAAAACTCTATATACAATATCTGAGCTTATTAGGGTTTCTTTTCAAACTGAAATTTATATAATTTTTTTTATTGGTACATTAAAATCTTCAATAAAAAAAATATTAGTATAAAAAGGTGTACTGGAAAATATTTCAAATCAGCAAAATATTTAAACTTGTCAAATATCTTGAAGTAGGTATATCTATATTATAAAGTAGTATTATTAATAATTTAATTTTATATATAAATAAACGTAATTATTAGAAATATCTGAAATATTACATGTATTCGCAATACTTGTAGCTTAAGCATTACTTTATCTATTTATCTGTTAATAATTAATTACACAATATTTGTGCCGTACGAGCACAACCAAGCAATATCTTTACGCCTTTAATAGAGAAATATCGAGAAACTTTATCATCAATTAACTGCTTCTCACATACATTGTATACATTGTATGAAGCATGAATGAAATATAAAAATAACTGCAACTATTTAATCCTTTTTTCTATTTCTTTATCCTTGCAGTGTGCAACTTTATTATACATGAAAGATGTGTCTCCAATGTGGAAACACCTTGTTCCGGCATTGCACCGTGCATTATAAAGGTGGGTTAACGTATACACAATAGCTTTGGTGCATTCCAGCCCACTTTATTGTGCCCATTGTGGCGCATTCATTTTATGCTTTTTGTGCAAATTTCTCACACACACAATTTTTCATACAGAATCCTGTGGCACATTGCTGGTCTGAGCCGACACATCACAAAAGGAAGTTCTGCACAGTTTGCCGCAAGCGTTTGGACGAAACGCCAGCCGTGCATTGTTTGAGTAAGTGGAAGTATAGTGGATGTATCGTATAGAAATTCAAGAATATAAAGACTCATACTCGTCTAATTTTTTTTTTTGCTTCAATCGAAGTTAATTGAATTTCTTAATAATAATGGCGGGCATTTACTGTGCGGCCAAGTTTGCATGCAGAAATTTTTTAATCCATGATTTTGTTTGCTTTGCAGTTTGCGAATATTTCGCGCATATTGAGTGCCAAGATTTTGCCGTACCGGATTGCACTGAAAATGCGACTTATGTGCCGGGCAAAGAATTATTAAATGTCAAACATCAGGTAAGCTTCTTTCTCAGCTTCCTTTATACTCTTGAAACCCTTGCAGTTAATTTTTGTCACAACATGATTTTAATTTAATTTAATTTTAACTTTTAACTTTTAAAGCACCACTGGAGGGAAGGTAATCTACCATCAACGTCTAAATGTGCATTTTGCAAGAAGACCTGTTGGTCATCGGAATGTCTGACAGGTAAGCTAGAGCTTTGTGATATGCCAACATGACTGGACGGCTTCCTTATGCTTTTGCATTGAATTATAAATATATTGAGCTTTACAAGTGCTTTACAATTCACTTAATAATTCAGTGTGTTGTACTCATTTTGGATATCCAAAATTGTATATCCAAAATTGTATTAAAACAAACTTAATTTGGACACACAAAGCTAATTTAATAACGTCCACTTTTGTGTTAAACTAAATGCATTAGAAGGAAGCCAATAACTGCAATTGTCCATGGCATTTACATGAGCAATAAATTTTGTAGAAACTTTAAATGAATTTTCGTTATTTGGAATAAATTTGCAGGGTATCGTTGCGAATGGTGCGGCATGACAACACACGGCGGTTGTCGTCAGTACCTGCCGGCGGAATGTAATTTCGGAATACTTCAACCTATTTACTTACCTCCACATTCAGTGTCAATACCACGTACTGAGGTGCCGATAGAGGCAATCATTGGTGTGCAAGTCAAATCAAAAACAACCCTGGTTCGCGACTATTCGTGTCGTAAGTATACAACTGCGTTAGATACGTTGAGTTTTAAATGAATTCACTACGTCATTGTGGCGTGGAGTATCTTTTCTTAAACTTCAACTCAATGCAATTCAAGTCAACGTTGTTAATAGTTCAACAAAATGTTGTGACTTTCAGTGTGTAATTTTTTCAAACAATTAAATCACTCCCAGATCAGAACTTCACAACTTCACAACATCACAACATCACAACTTCATTTGAATAACGACATTACAATAACGACACTGCTATACATAAACACACAATCATCCTATCCTCCTTCATTCACAATTAAATGTTCTCTTAATTGTTTGCAATTGTCTTAAATGTTGTTGCATATCATTCTAGATCATTCTCTAAAATTCAATATTATTTAAAATTAAGAATAAAAACTATAAACATAATTATAATGCAAAATAAAATTCAAATTAAATTTTCAAGTAACTTTGTCACATTTCATGCATTTTAGTTTTGTAGTGCTCAGTTTGTTCAAAGCATCTCCAGCAATTTCTTCATATACATTATATCCGCATCTCACATATCAAAAAATCCTCCCGTTGAACAAACATCGAAACGTTATTGCACATTTAAATCCCTCAATTTCGTACAAATTATTTTTTTTTTATTGTTATTATAATATTTCCTTTGCTATTATTTGTTTGGTTAAAAAAATTTTTAATTATATATACAATTTGTAATAGATAGGCAAGTAGATATAGCATAGCGATTGAAAATACTAGAGACTTACTTTATTAAAGATATTGTCCATTGGCATGACCTTCCTCTAAAGATTTTAAGCTTTGCCAATGGTAACATAATGCGCCAATAGGCTTAAGAGGTTCATTAGAAACGACGATATAACCTAAGCTAATATTGTTCAGTAACGATTTCATGTCAGTAGCTTCCGAAATTGTTATTATAAGTTTTGATAATGTCTCTAACTAACTCTAACTATATGAACGACGTTAGTTTAAAATCGAAGGGGACTTTTTTATTTCTAAAACTATTGATTTATTCATCAATATCGATTTTGTCATCTTGAAGGTCATCTATTCCAGATATTATACAACTGTGCCAGCGCTACTTTTTGATATGCGTTTTTTGGTAGAGCCTTACGCTCTTCCAACAATCGATCTTTATTTTCTCAATCGTGTCAAACCTCCACACTTTTATGGGTCTTTAGAATTAATTCCACTCATTATTATAGTTCAATTATAAATATTCATTATAGCTTATTTATCACTGCAGTTGTGCATCAACAAAAAATATCCTGACAAATCAAGTATCAGCTCTTTCAGAATAATATCTGAACTCTAAGATTAGTTCGTAGATTATGGTATTTTTCGATTAATAAAAGCCTTTCCTTTTCTAACAAAGGTAATTCCTTAGTATAATTCATTAATTCCCTAAAAGCAAAAATTCCTTAGTATAGTCAAAAAAAAAAATATTTTTCTTTTAAACTAACATAAAATAGGTGTTAATCACAACATATAAAACTTATATGTAGTATATATCATGATCATAACCTCAATTAACTGTTGCATCTACAAATCACAGTTACTACGTTAATACCTTGTTTCATTTTGCTTACTTCATTAAGTTTTAAACATTGACAGAATTTAAACAAAATTTAAACAAAATTTAAACAAAATTTTTCCCATTAAAGTTTCCATAACTTAGAACAAAATTTTTATTTAAGGTTTTTTACAAATTTTTTATTTTATTTTTTTTTATTTTCTTTCATATAATTACAAATTTAAAAAAAATTATATAAATAAAATTTAGCTGATTTGAGTGCAATAAATTATGAATCAACAACAACAACAACTAATTCAGTTCACCCTGAACTAAGTTTAAGAGAAATTTTATTGCTTGAAAGGCAACGCCGTTATCAATGTAAACAAAATTTTTTACTTTCGTCTCCACCATCATCGATAGCCTCAATTTCACCAACTTCATCTTTTATTCGTATACCTACAGTGGGTGAGATATCATACTCAGTCAATGAAGGAAAAGAAACTAAAGAGGGCGAATATCTCGAGGACGAAGATGACGTACAGGTTGATGAGGAACAGAAACTTCAAAAATGTGATCGATCTGATGGGACACCGGAGCAGGATGCAAATGAAGACAGCGCACTGCAACTAACTACCTCTAGTCATAAAATTAGTCAAAAGTCTGGGACGTACATACAAAAATCGCCCTCAGCTTCATCATCTCTGAATCTTTTTTACACAAATATATTTCGCAAAGTGAAACATAGTCGCCAACGGAAACATCTTTCCTCGAACACTGATGAGGATGAGGAAGATGTGGGAGTCTGTGATATTAGTGGTGGCGATATAAGTGATGAATATGATCATTGTGATGTAGAACTTAAAAAAAGTAAGCGTGCAGCAGCAGCAGCAGCAGCAGCAGCGTCATCGGTAGCTACTGTTGGTGCGAGTGGTATTGGTAGTGGCAGTGATGTTGACTATCATGGCGATGTGGAAGCTGAGACTGCGCCACATGAAAGTTTATATGAGACTTCAGATACTGGCGGTGAGCTAACCACAACAGATGATATTGATATCGACTCTAGTATGAATCTAATTAGTAATCTTAGCTATAATAGTAGTAATAGTAATACATCAATAGAAAATCGTATTAGTGTAGATAAACGCAAAAATGCTCAGATTGCACAACTTACGTCTGCTGTCGTATCGAGAAAGCGATCAGCAAATGCGGATAAAACTACCGAAACGGCGGTAGACACTGCCTTAGTTGCTCATGAGAGAGGAGCTACAAAGACTGGTGCTATTTCAAAAGCAAAACCTATACTCAAGCCACCGAAGTCAGGTGTTGTTGCTGGTGGTTCTTTGAGTTCACCAAATTCCAGTGATCTGTCATCAGCATCACCTGTTCCACCACCACTACCACCACCATCACAACTGTCTCCTGTAGGTCGTAGCAAATCTTTTCAGGAGCCTGGTGTCAAGCAGCACACACAAACCCCAACTAGCAGACATAAAAAATATACACGCTTCTTTCAACGTAGACGTTCAAAACGTTCCAACTCAGGCGCTCCAATAAAAAGTGGCAATAAGAACTGCAGAAGCGATTATAGCCTTGATCGCGTGTCACAAAGTATAGAAATAACAATACAGGATGAAGATGGCAATTATCAACCTTATGATGATAACTATTTTACGCTGAGCTCCACGCAAAATAGATTACATAGGGATGAAGATGAAGAGGATGGTGATATTGAGATCGACATCGATGACGATTTAGTAACACGTTTACGTGAAGAAAATGAATATGATGAATACTTAGACGATCGACCACGACCTCACAGTTGTGGTGGGCTTAGTGATGATGTAGCTGGTGACATTAGTGATGCTGCCAGTAGCCGAAGTCGTTCACATGCAAGCGATAATGAGCACGTTTTCGGGCGTTTGCTGAAGCGAATGCGACGCTTATCATTGGGTTGGCGGAAACCACGTTATTACAGACGCAGAGGTGATTGTTCGGAACTGATTTTAGTATTTTTATTTGTTTTATTAATGGTATAATGATTGTTTAAAAATTAATTTTGTTTTAGTTAAAATATTCAATATGCTTTTCAGAGTATTTGATTTATATTTTGATTTATTTTGAAGTATGCGTTTAAGTTGTCTTCCTTTGAACCTTTTGTATGATAGTTCTTGCTATATTTTTTATCATAACATTTTTGGTTATACTAACATCGACATTGCACATAAATACTTTTTCATCACTATTACTAATCAATTATATTTTTATTAAGTATAATCAATCAATCATCTTCAGCATATTTATCATAACAAAACAGCATGTTAAACCTATACTAATCCAAGCAGCGCATGCTAACTCCATCATTCATAGAATTTTAGCCGAGACACTGCCCATGTACTTAACATAACGTTCGCTGATAAATGTTTAAGCAGCAAAAATGGACTAACGCCCTTATGCTTCCCCAATATAACAGTTTCTATCACTCATGTTAGAAATGCAGTTATTTGCTTTTAGCTTCTTGTTTTTGTTTTTGTTAATAGAAGTAAATTTAGTAAGGTAAATCCTTAATAGTCCTATAATATGTTTCTTCCTTCTAAGTTTTTGCGAAAGTATATTATGACAGATATTTTTCAATAAAATGATAACTGCTTAGGAAGAAGTTAAACTTCTTTCCTAAAAGACGATATAGTAAAATATGTATGTATTTCTCTTAAAGAAATGTATATATAAAAGTAAAGATCAATCTGCATATTAAAAACATGCAGATTAAACATGATGTCATACATCCAATATAAGACATAATATTAAGTATGATTTATAACGAAGATTATAAATAATATGACTGTTTTTAAATAGTATGTAGCAATTGAATGTTGGATTTAGTAAATAGGTACTCATTCTTCTCTCTATAATATCTGAAATTTTTAAGATATTCAGTCGGTTCACCAGTAAAATGTAATATTAATTAAATAACGTCCTAGCCAGTAAAGGCTAACATATATTACCAGAAGTCTAGAGAGTGCGCATGTTTTGAAACTGCTAACTAATAGAAGTAAATGGAATTAAAAACATTAACTGTAGTGCTACTGACAAGTAAAAATTAAGTAATTGCTAACAAACTAACTGATTTAATACAATTAAAGCTAAATCTAAAGATTTCTTTGAATATCTAATGCTTTGTGAGTAAAGAAAATTGTTATTCATAAATTGCTGTTTTTGCTTAACTTTAGCACGAAGTATATCAGAGGAGTTTAGTTCCGGAGGCGATACGCCACGATTTAAAGATGAGGAATCAGTTAGTAAAACAGAATCCGCGCATGGTGGTGGCAGCAGAACAGTTGACTGCAGTTCAGGCAGCACGTCTCATTATAGACCAGAATCAGCAGGCCATAAATCAGACAAATCGGACAAGGACAAGGAGAAGAAAGAGAAAGAAAGAGAAGAAAAGGATATTGGTATATATATTCTTAATGTCTATACAGTATGCAGTTAAATTTTATGTAATCTTTTTATTCCTTTAATCCTTTTAGAAATGATTAAAGTTTTCGATGGCAACAACTCATTCCGCCGTCAACTTTACCGTGTTATTATAGTACCAAGAACGTATACACTCGAACAATTGTTAACAACTGCATTACGCGCCTTTCACATTACTCGTGATCCCAGTGTAAGTAAAGGCCAAATGATATTATATTATATGTGTTGTATAGTGTATATATGTGCGTATATATAACTAATTACTTTTTACTTTGGTTATTATAGGCATTTTATTTAACTGACCTTTATGCTCCAGCCGGCATGGAAGAAACACCTTTGCAAGATCCAACTCCTGTCATGAATTTAATACATGTAGAAGGTAAACGACCAGCTATATATCTTAGGTTTCACGATAAGGATAGAGGATTTGTACGTGTTTATCCTGGCAAATTGCAATGCTCTCTGGAGGAGACATTCGTTAGTGTTCCTGTAGATAATACAACAATTATTAAGGATTTGATACGTGATGCATTAGATAAATTTGGCTTACAAGATAATCAAATACAAGATTATAGGTACGGAACTAATATATGTTAATTTATGAACTAATTATACGGATATAATGTCTAATATACATATTTCTGTATGTAGATGTTCCGAAGTATTGCTTGATCGCGGCGTTACAGAACGCATACTCTCATGGAACGAACGACCATGGGATATAATGAAACAATTGGGGAAAGACTCAATACGACAAATGGAATTGATGCGTTTTTATATGCAACACAAGCAAGATCCACATGGACCAAATATTGCATTATTTGTAGGTAATTTACCACCAGGCTTATCTCAACGGAATTACGAACAAATTTTAACAAAATACGTAACCGATGAGAATAAGTTCACCAGCATTGGGCCAATTTACTATGAATATGGCTCCGTAGTTTTAACATTTGAGGACTCACAAAAAGCGGTAAAGTTGAAAAATTCAAAAAGTTCATTGAAATGTATAATATGTTATAATGTATAATATGTTTTGTAATTGAATGTATATAGGTACGCGCTTTTTACAATTTACGTGAAACTATTATAGAAGATAAGAAATTACTGGTTATGTTGCTGCCAAATATTGAACCCAGTATGGTTCCTTCAGATGTACGACCATTGCTTGTTTTTGTTAATGTTAAGTCAGGTGGATGTCAGGGTTTAGAACTTATATCAAGTTTTAGAAAACTATTGAATCCATTCCAAGTATTTGATTTGGATAATGGTGGACCCCTACCTGGGTAAGTAAAAAAAAACGTGTATAAATATATATATATTATATATTTTAAAATTATTTACTTAATTGTCTATTAGCTTATAACACTTTAAATTAAACGAAAGCGCCTCCGTACAGCACTTATTATAAACAATTTATTTCAAACCAAATGTGATATGATTATTTACTTTATTAATTCAGATTTCTCTTTTTTTATAGTGCAGTAGAAAATTGATTTCAATAGAATTTTAATATAAATTTTAATTGTATTCGTCAAAGGGTAAACATTGATATACTTTTCAAATTGTAGTTCTAAGATCGTCCTTATTATTCGATAAGAAGTGCTAACATAAACTCTAAAGAAGATAATCTCTTCTCTCTAACATCATTAGGACAACTATTATTTGTATCCTATCTCGATAGTTGAAAACAAAACCAGTATTGTTAGTATGTAAAAATAAAACAATGCTTATAAATAATGTAAGGGGACAATGCAGAAAGAGTACATAAATCAATTTTGGCTATTTTTTCATGCTAGTAACGCCATCCTTTTATATATTATGGTACTAATTCCATTATTTGCTATAATAAAAATGATTGTACCCGTGAAATACAGAAAGAAAGAGAATATATTCTTAGGATATGTATTAGGTTGCACCATTAGTTACATGGGCTAGACCAAGAAGCAGTTGTTAACAACTGCAGTCAAAAAATGCAGTAGGAACATAATATAAAAATAATAAAACTTAAAATAAATATAAGAATTTAGTGATATAATGTATATTAATCAATTTGTCTTTTTAAACAGTTTATACGTATTCCGTCAAATAGCGAATTACAAGATTTTAGTTTGTGGCGGTGATGGAACAATTGGTTGGGTTCTGCAATGTTTGGATAACGTAGGACAGGATTCGGAATGTTCAAGCCCACCGTGTGCTATAGTACCACTTGGCACTGGTAAGTATTTCATACTGAATATCTCGCATTTCCACTTTTCTTGGATTAACATACATATCTTAATGCGCAGGCAATGATTTGGCTCGCGTATTGTGTTGGGGCTCCGGCTATACAGGTGGTGAGGATCCGTTAAATTTATTACGAGACGTCATTGAAGCCGAAGAAATACGTTTGGATCGTTGGACTGTTGTCTTTCATCCCGAAGATAAACCGGATGAGCCAGCGCTAAAAGCGCCCTCCAATACAACGGGTAAGAAGAAGAAGGCTCACCAAGCACATCTATCGCAACAAACAAATCAGCATCATCAATCGAGTGATATACCAGGTCATTTGATGTTCAAAACTTTACCCTTTTATTTTTATTTTATTTTTATCATATGTTCGTCTTTGTTTACTCTTTTTTTTTTTTGTTATATACTCTCCTGTCTATAAAATAAATACGAAAAATCTAAAAATTATTATATTTAACAAAACAAACTTCAAATTAGTAATTCTCATGTACATATTTTCGATGTACCTTTTAAATTAACTTTCAAAGACTAAATTAACGTTTAAAGCTTCAATAAAGACTAAAATAGACTAAAATAAAAGCTATCAGAAAGTAAGGATCTGGAGAAAATGATTACTTCCATATTAAAAGATTCTTAATGCTAATTTTCGGCCAGGTTCTTACTTCGAATTAAATAAAATCTGATTTTTAAAAACAAATTTAAATTGGGCATTTGTAAAAATCTGAAATTAATTGGTATTCGATTGTGCTGCCTTTTTTGGTGTGAAAGATGTTTAGCTATTGAAAATTTGCATGTTGTATATTAAAATATAAAAGTGTATAAAAGTAATTCACTTAAATGTTTACGAACTTCAACATTTTATAACATTTGGCATTTTTGTTGTAATTAAATTATTAATTAATTTTTACATTATGAAACAAATATATTTTAAGTTGATTTTGTTTGTTTGTGATACATGTGAATATGAATTAATTATCAGATATGGTATATAAAGGAAACGGAAGAGGTAAGATGTGTATTCTTTTTTATTTAAAAATGGTTCAGCTGATTTTCTTTCCATTTAGTAAGCCACAAACAAAGGTAGATAGTTGAATATCCGATATCTATAGTACATAAAAGTGTAATATAAAATTATCTACCTCTATATTATTTTGCATTATTAAGAGATATTTCACTTCAAAAAACAAAAATGCATATATATTTTACAATCAGACCTTAATATAGCATTTATTCCATTTAAATTATTTATATATTATTCCATAAACACAAAACCCTTATTAAACCCGATCCCTTAACTTTGAATAAATAAGAAGAAACGAAAACCTTTGCATTCGCACATGTCTATTGTGAATGAAAAGGAACTATGCAATTTTGTGTTCAAAACTAGCTTGTTAAGGGACCAAGCTATTTGCATATACACTTATTAAATCCGGTAATAAACTTAAAAATGTGCCTAGTATAAAAGTTTTATACTATGTTCAGACACACTTTAATTTCGCAAAAATCTTAATTTCATCTTCGTTGCAGCGAAATTAAGTCGTTTTTTTCCATACAAAATTCATTTTAAAGGCTAGAACGAAATTAAGGAAAATGACCTTAATTTCGTTAAAACAAAGGCCGAAATTAAGCGACATTTCAAATGCAACTATGCGTCAGATAAATTTTAAGAAAAGGTAAAGTTTAGATAAAGAAAAAATGACATAATGCAAATTTTTAAATTTGAATATAGAGAAAAAACTGTAACTGTTATTAATTTAAAATAGAGTGAAAAATAATAATTCATATACCTGAAATCCACTAAAACTAATAAAACTATTGAATGTTATCCCTTATTGTTATAATAATCATTTTTTAAAATTTTCCACATACAAATGACGTTTGGAGCATGTAATTTTTAACATTTGATTTGTAAACAAAAAACATATGATTTCCTTAATTAAAGAAATTTGGCTGTCTGAATATAGTTTAAGAATAAAATAAACAGTGTAGTGCCGTAAGAGTAACAGCAATAAATTATATTAGATAGCAAAAATGATTAAAAGTTCATTAATTTATAATGATTAATTTACGTCTCCAAAATTTACTATACTTATTTATTTAAAGTAAACTTTCGAAACCAATTGTTGAATGCACGGAATAACTATATTGTTTTCAAGTCTTCTGAAAGCTTATTTGTAAATAATAGATTTATTAATTTTCTTTATTTTATCTATAACAATACAGTACCATCATATCTAAATTGCTTTTTTTCTCACTGACATGCATTCGATGGTATAAATGATCAATCTATTGGTCAATATATTCTGTTCGCGATACTATTTATAACTGTTATATTACCAACTGTTACTTTTTCCCTTCCTAAAAATACAACTTATTTCATTGGTATACCAAAGTAGTAGTATCTTATCTTATCTTATTAACTACTAGACTTGTATATACCAATAGAGGCAGTCGGAAGATTCACTGAATATGTACATAGACCGAAGATTTATTCGATGCAAAAACTGGATTCCCAGGTGTAAATTGTGTATATTCTACCGCAAATGAGTGCGCAACGCCTTCGTTTAAATTATTATTTATTCTTTATATAATTGTTGTGAACTGCTTGATCGTTGTAAATTTATTGTGTATTTTCATTTTATATTTCTCAGAAATTCCTTGGTATGAAAAATGAACTCTTTTTGTATTCTAAGAATAGACCAAACTGCATTTAAGAAATTGATAAATTTTGAAATTAATTCAGTAACTTAATGCGATCTTCTATTGATCACCCTAGGTGGCGGTGCACAAAACGAGGACAATTCCCAGATTTTTGTAATGAATAACTATTTTGGCATTGGAATTGACGCAGACCTATGCTTGGATTTTCATAATGCACGTGAAGAGAATCCAAATAAGTTCAATTCACGTCTGCACAATAAAGGTTATTACGTGAAAATGGGGTTGCGCAAAATAGTTGGGCGAAAGACTGTTAAAGACTTGCATAAGGAATTGCGTTTGGAAGTGGACGGTAAAGTTGTTGAACTGCCACCCGTTGAGGGTATAATTATATTGAATATATTAAGGCAAGTTAGATGTATGAATATACGTAACAATGTATTAATTGATTCCTTTTATTTAGTTGGGGAAGTGGTGCAAATCCATGGGGTCCAGATAAGGATGATAATTTCACAACACCTAATCATTATGATGGTGTATTGGAAATCGTTGGTGTTACTGGTGTTGTGCATTTGGGGCAAATACAATCTGGAATACGGACAGCAATGCGTATTGCACAGGTAATTCTATTGAAAGACACAATGCATCTATTATTCAATAAAATATCACATATCACTTTAAAGATCAGTAAAACTAAACAAAGATTATGTATATAAATATTAAAGTCAATAAGATGTTACTCTATGTTTTCAATTATTCTTATAGGGCGGACATATAAAAATACATTTATATTCGGAAATGCCAGTTCAAGTTGATGGTGAACCTTGGGTGCAGAGTCCTGGAGATGTTGTAGTACTGAAGTCCGCTCTCAAGGTAGGCTCTCTTTATTTCAGAATAGTTTCTTTAGTTTTTTATTTTTAATAGCACAGAAGGTTTTTCATAAAGAAATCAATTTTGAAGTTATTTTGTTTTTTTTTCTTTCATTGCTTTTAATGCTTTTTTCTAAAACAATTGTTTCTTTTACTGCGAATTTCTAAGTTGTAAATAACAGAATAAAAACAAAACTACAACTTATGCATGTCGCTTACGTTCTTGTCTTATATCTTAGGCATGCGTTTCAAGACCCTACACATGAAGTTAGAATACAATACTACAATTTTCATTTTGATCACTTATGGAAATGTTTTGTAATATTTTTATTATACATATACATTCATCTCGAAATAAAGATATAATATATATTGTTTATATTGTTTATATCATAATGCATATTAACTATATGAGAAACTTTTAATTATTTTTTATATTTTATCAAAATTTTGTTAAAGATTTTTTGTTGTTTTTTTGTTGTATTCAATTTTATTAAACTTAAATTATTTGTTAAGACGTTTTCAAGGAAAACTCTCGTTCTCTCATAGACACGTTACCTGGAAGTTTAAACTTTTCTATGTTACAATTTTCTATTAAGCAGAAATAACATAGGGTGAATTCTCGGGTTGTCATATATCAACTCAATTATATTATAGAATATTTTTAAAAGGTTCTTATATCAAATTACCTATAGTGAGTTCTCGGGTTGTCATAGATCAATTCAATTATGTCATAAACTATTTCTAAAAGGTTCTTACTTCAACTCTCTTAAACTCAAGGAACTTCCTTTCAAGGAAAACTCTGGTTCTCGAATAGACATGTTATCTGGAAGATTGAACTTTTATAAGTTACAATTTTCTATTAAGCAGAAATAACATAGCGTGAATTCTCGGGTTGTCATATATCAACTCAATTATATTATAGAATATTTTTAAAAGGTTCTTTCATCAGATTACCTAGGGTGCGTTTTTGGGTTGTCATAGATCAACTCAATTTTGTCATAAACTATTTCTAAAAGGTTCTTATTTCAACTCTCTTAAAGTAGATAAAGATAATATAGATAGGTTATGATAGTGATTTAAGTTATCAGCGATGTAGAGTATTGCGATCTTTTATACTGCGTGTAATAGATTACATACATCGGAAAGTATATTGCTGTAACATGGAACTTCTGGATTTGTTACAACAAACATTCCAAACTGCAAACTACTTGAAACCAATTTAACTTATTTAATGTACTCTTATTAATATTATAACAGCGACTACGAATTGAAAGTCCACAAAATGACACAAAAAGTCATTTCAATTATTGTTTTCTTTGATTTTATTGATTAAGCTTCAATTATTGCGGGCTTTAAAATATAAATTATAATATTGATTGAATTACTGATACTAGGAATATTATCACTGATTATTAAAAATCAAGATCTCCACATATAGATCTCGGTAATCATATAGAAATAATTGGCATTAATAGAGTACGTTATGTTATAAACAAATTATCTAATTTAAATTTTTGATACAAAATATTTAATTAATCCCAAAAAAATTCTTTCAAAGTATACAAATAAAAGTTTTCACTTATTATTTATAAATAATTGTAATGAAAAATAAGAAAAAATAAGGGACCATTTCTTCATCTTTTAATCAAACAAAAAATATTATTCCAATGATCTAAGAATTCCGGTAAATATTATGATATTATTTCCTAACAAAAAACAAATGTCATTCCATTGAAATCGGAAAACTAGCACTTAAATTGCTGCACAAACGTGTCTGCAAATATACATGCCCATATCTTCGACATAGATCTTTAGTAGAGGATCATTGTTTAAATGGGGGGGTATTAGAGCATTGCGACCAAATAAATTTTTTGTGCTGCAACTGACCCTAACCGAACAGAAGACATTCTTCCGCTTTTCGAATGGAAACCAGAATGTCGTCCTTTGAGGACCTCCTAATTTCAGAAGGAGACAGTGCTCTCCTCCCAGTGACTTCCTCCTTGCCCAGATCAAGGCTGGGCAGTCACAGAGAATGCGACTGGGGGAGGTAACGCATAAGGCATTTTCTGCTCTCTTTATTAAGCTTGTGGGTCATATTGCTGCGCCATAAATAAATATGCAATTAGGAAATATATATAAGTAACTTTAATAAGTGTATGGAAATATTTATGACATTAGCTGGTAGGCTGCAGGTTTCTACGATGTACTGGATTGGATTACAAATTATTTGTTGTTTATCAATATTCTAACATTATAACTAACATATATATCGTGTGAGGCAATGTAGATATATTTTACAAAACTGAAGAGATTCCATGCTTGTAAAATCAGGAGTCAAAAAAAAAACTATTTATATTAAAAAATTATTTACATATTTTATTATTGCTTTCATGGAAATTCATGGATAATTCTATGGGAAATCCATTTAAATAAATTCTATAAAATATATTTGAAATAGACAAAGTAACTTTAATTATATCAATATATGTATATATGTATATCAACAATCGTTTCAAAGTTTCAATTCTTGTGTTGGGTTTCTTAGTGCACATCCTTAAGTGAAAATACTCTTTCCCGCATACATCCTTTCTCCGTCACCCAGACTCGCGAGTCGTGAACACAACTTTTGTTTATTCGTTGTTTGTATAATTTTTGTATGCAATAAAAAACACTAAAAAAAAATAAATAACCAAGAATGTATTTGTATATCTCAAACGACACTAATTCAATTTTAAAATTAATACACTGAAAAAAAAATGTTTTTTCTGTTGCTTTGTAAAACAATATGTGTTAAATGTTTTAAAATCAATAATAAAATAAAATAGATTTAAACAAATTTCAAAGATAAAATTTCACATATGAATTAAGCGAAGAAGACCGTTTGTAATGGCAAATCCCTTTACTACACCTTTTATATATAGGCGACAATGTTGAAGAAGACCAAAAGTAAACGACGTCTCACCGAACCACATATCTCGCCGGCAGTCATGAGCTTATCTGCTTCGGCGACAGCATCTGCAGCCGCCATTCAGTGTGGACCTACTCTAGCAGCTACAGTCGCGGCACCTCAAGCCACATTATCACAGTTACAATTACCAGAAAATGGCGACCGCGATAAGGAACCGGTGCAGGGCAACAACACGTAGAGAAATACACGTCCGTCCGGTTTATGCTTTTTATTTTCATGTTTTCTATAATTATTTACCAACTACACTTTAATTAAACAATAATTCAAAAAATTTATGAAAATAATAAGAAAAAAATTTAAACTAAATATGAATATATATTACCAGAACATGATACTAACTAAAAATACGAGTAACACAGGAAAATACATTTAATACAATTCATTTACAATATAAAAATAAATACACAAAGTTTGTTTTCATTGAAAACTATTTACTATTTGCTATTTGCTGTAAGAAAATCATATATATACCTGATCTAATAGTTAAATATTTAAAAAAAAAATAGCACTTAAATTCTAATTCTAATTAACTGAATTGAACATAAGGAATGTAATTATTATGAGAATAATTAAAGCAACGCTTAACACTTACGAATTTTCCTACCAAATGTTTAAAATATATTTAACTTATTTTAAACCTAAGAGGAATAAATAATAAAAGTCTACATATTGCCATATCTACACACCAATGTAATGTCCTGCAACAAGATAACATCTCCCACACTCTTGCACACCAGACCACGAACACCAGACTACTTTGGTACATGACACTAAATGTTTTCTTTAAATTTTCATTTAACACGTTCTGAAAGAATATCTTAATAAGTTTGCTTTTTTATTTCATTCATTTCTATTATTATCTGTTTACTGCGATAAGTTTGTTTTCTTTTTTTTTTTTGTCATTTCATTTCATTTGATTTGTCGCAAACAATGTTAAGTGATGTAGAAATAGAAATTAGAATATAATTCCAAACATTTTTTGACTAGCTGAGAAGTGACTTTATTGGCTGTTTGTACAGTCTTGTTAAGGCCACCAGTTGTTCTCCACAGCCTGGAAGATTTGTCTTTAATTTTAAATGATTATTTCTATAATATCATTGTTTTTATCATATAACAAAAAGTCCGTGCAACTTAGTTTAAGATCATGAAAAGTAGTTGAATCCTTTCGGATTTGTATAGAAGTGTCCGTTCCAAGCACTGAACATAATGAGTAATTAATGCTCAAAAAGCACTTGTAGGAATTTGTGTCTAAAAAACACGTATTAACTTTTTAGCATTTCTTCAAGATATACTATATTATAAAAGGAAATTATTTTTAATGAGTTTGCGTATACATTTTTTATTATTTTATATAATTCTCGCTTATGAATTGTGATTTAAATAACTGGTCTAAACTAAATTACCAGTAGTTTACTCATTATTTTTGCTCTTTACGACGTTATGCTGTCATATTTAAAAATTTGTACCTAAAGTTATCATATATAAAATAAATTATTCGCATATTAGGTATTAGACAAATTGCGATGTATTGCATATTTTTAATAAATCGTATTACTTAATTTTAGTTTAAATTATTTCAATAAAATTAAAATCTTAAACATTTATAAAATACTATATAATTTGCTTGATAGTTGGGCTTTGAATCTATTACGTTAATTTTTAAACACTTCATATATTTGCGCTTATTTGCATTTAATTACAAAAGTTAGATTTTATTATAATATCACAGCATTAATTATTTATTTTCAATTATAGATAACTTAATACTGAGCTTGAATTTCAAAGTATTTTTAAAATTTTCTTTTAAAAAAATATTTCGCACAGTTGTAGAAATTTAAAGCAACGCAACATGTATTTTTGCACTGATCTATTGCAATAAGTAATGCAACAAGTAATGGAAAAGATGTTGAAAGACGTTTTTATAAATTTTCATTACTTGCTTTCTGTACCATTAGTTCTGGTGCTCAGTGTGATATGTACTTTGTTATTGCTTTAAGTTTTGATTTATAACTTATAGAAAAAAAATTTAAAACACATTTTAACTCTTGTTGTATATATTTCTCTCTCTTTTTTGACTTTTCTTTGGATATTTTAACATTCACAACACAAACAATTTTTAAACGAAACATCATAAAACAAATTATAAAAATAACAAAATATTCTATTTCTCTTAATTGTACCGGACGGAAATCATTTTAAAATAATCTGATCAATTTAATTAACGTACATTCTTTAAAAATTCAAATCAATATAAATCAATATTGTAACAACAATAAAATATAGGCCACCATGTTGAAAAAGAACAAAGGAAAAATGAAACGGCGGAACACCGAACCAACAATGATCGTTGTTGGTGGCACAGGTACACCGCTGTCGTTAACTTTACCACCAGCCAGTACAGCAGAGTGCGAATCTGAAGCAGACAATACGGATTTCTGAATATGGTACAGTGAGCGTTTGATTTAACGTGTTAACTATGATTTATTCTTGCGAACATACATCTCATTTACCATATACATCTATTATTTATAAGTCCACCATACCTGCACAGTTATTTTCCTTAGCTTTATAATAATCTAAAACAAAGATGTTAAAGACAACAATCAAAATTCGAAAATCAAAACATTTTATTAATGCAATAAGAGAATTAAATTAAATGTATTTATACAATATTTAAATGTAGTGTCTTAGGATTCCATTAATACATGGTTTAAAAACCACAACTTCTAATAACTTCTAATAACGGAATAACGCATTTTTTCATGTCTCAACACTGTTTTCGCAATAACACGTTAAATTCAAATTGCTCTTTTTTATTTCTATTCTAACTTTTTCGATCCAAAAACAAAATATGTATTTGTACACCGAATTCCTAAATAAAAATTAATATTTATAAAAATAAATAGCTTAAGAAATTGTTAATATTGCAAAAGTTAAGCGCATATATAATTATGAATAAATGTTAAAAAGAAATAAGAACATTAAATAAACAATTTGATACAATTATACAGCTAAAATTGCAAAATTACTTCATCTGTTAAAGAAAAAAATTCTAATTAAAAATATCATTATTGATCAATATTGAGGTAATTATTATCAGTTAGAATAACTAATCTAGTTTAATGACTTTATTATATGAGCATTTAACAGACGAATTAACTAAATGTTAAAAGTAATTTGGAAATACACACACAAGACATATGAATGAGTAAAAATCTTACAATTTAATACAATTAAAAGCAATTGAAGCTAAATCTACTAATCAGTTAAGCAAAAAGTATAAAAAGTTATAAAAAACTTAACTGGTTAACGCCATTTGTTCATTTGTGGTTAGTGATATTAGAATGGCACAGGCTTGCATTATTTTCATTAAAACCAAATAGCAAGCAAATGTAATCATTTTACACTGAATCTAATATATTTAATCATTCAAAAATGGATAAATAAATATATATGTAATAAACTGCAAAACTATACAAAAATTTTCAAGCTATTTTCATAGCTTTAAATCACTGACTAAGAAACTAAGAAAAGTGGTTCAATGTTTTTTAAATCTTTATTGTGATTACTACAAATAATAATTCTATTAAAATTCGAATCACATTGTAAGCTTCAATTTAAGCTAAACGAGGCAAAAGCAAAGAAAATAAAAAATGCAGTAATTACCAAAATTAATTGGAAATAATAACTGGGAATAAACATTACTAACTACCCAGCCTTAACTATTAGTAACATAGACACAGCAAATGTGAGAAAATTTTTACCTAAACTTTTTGAAAGTAAAATATTGCATAGTTTTGTCGTAACTAATATTATTCGGGACGCTAAAAAAAAAATATATACATATATATATACTCTACTATATATCTTATATTAAAAAAGTAAAAATTCCAAATGTTTGGTAAAAAACGTAAAACAGCTTTGACAGTTCAATGTCAATGACTGGCATATGGAACATAACTCGTTACCTATTGTTTGATTGTTTGATCGTGCAATTGGTATTAATCTTCTCCATTGCTGTGTTTAGCATTTTTTGTGCACAAATGCAAACAAATTAAAAATTAAAAATGAAAAAAGAAAACTTTAAAATAGTTTTAACTGAATGAACACATTTACATTTTATACTAGAGAGCTATGTATGTAAATGAAATGAAATAAATAAGCATTTGTTGAAAAACTAAAATTTATATTAAATACAAAATTGAAAAAACAACTTACAATTTTAACTAAAACGCTTGTAATTTTTATTATGAATTTTTGATTTTTATATTTACACATATGTTTATTTTAACTATTAAAAAGTAAAAGAAAAAGAAATTTAAAGAAAAATGAAACACATTATTTATGTACATATAAAAGAGGTGTACTTAACTTTATATGTGAGCACGGAAAACATATAAGGACTTATAAAGAAAACTAAATAATACAAAAATATACATAAAATGAATCATGTGTATAATTTACTATAATATTAATTGGAAAAAGTAAAGAAATCACCTTTACCTGCTGCGATTAGGGGCTCAGTGAATACGGTTAATCAGTGAATTAAAATTTCCGTGCATTTTCATGAAACTGAAACATAATCTATATAGACAATTTGCTGTTTTGCAATTTTTAAATGTTAATTTTTAAAATATAATAATTTATAATTAATACTTAATATAATAAATATAGTTATAAAGTAACTTAATCAAAACAATATACAATACATATATGAATATTTATATATTATTGTATATTATATTAAATATTGCACAGCATTCTGTCACAGTGTGTTTTTCTTTCAAACAAATCGATTGACTTTATTCACATAAAATCTGCAGTTGGTAGGTGATTTCAATTTAATTAATTAAAATAAAAAATTATTAACTTCTCATTTAAAATTTAATTATAAAAAAGAAATAAGAAATTCTAGCATGTAAGCATACCAAAAAATTTAACTTCTTAAAAATATATTAATTATTTAAAGAAATCCAAAACATTAAACTACCAACCATGAACAAAAATTATAATAAAAATGGAAGAACTAAATAAAATACTAAATATAGTAAATTTATGTAGTGTTTAATATTAAGTATATAAAAAATACAATAAAATCCAAATAAATAAAATAATTAAAATTAAAATGAGAGCATATAACAAGATAAGATAACATCAAACTATACATACATAAACAATACATTAAATAAGAAGAAGCTGGCAAAACCAAAGAACTAAAATACTATTTTTCTCAATTTGAATTTAAATATTAAATATAAATAAAATTGTTACACAAAACATAAGCAGAATTCAAATAATACACATTTCAAAATTTTATTTAACACAAATCAACCAACCAACCAACCAATCAAGGATGACATTTCATACGTAATCGACGTAACGTAACGTAACTAACGTAACTGACACAAAAACAGAAGATGATTGAAAATTTGATTAAAACTTCTACAAAATGAAATATTGACGGGCAAAACTATAACTTTGTCACAAAATGCTTTTCTATATTTCAATTAAAAATTAAATACAATACAAAAAGCAGCTAATTGGAAATACTTAACAAGTAGAAAATCACTTTCAAAGGAATAATACGATACTAACAACAACATTTTTTGACCTCATCCCAACCAAATAGTAATTACAATAGTAAAAAATTAAAAATTTTGAAAAATATTCAGTGCAAACTATTATGTATTATGTAAAATTCCATTTGATGAAAAACAGATTATAACAGATATGTAATTTTCAAAACCATCAGAAAATAAAAAAAATCAACCAATAAGCTAAAAATAATAGCATAAACGTGTGAAAACCAGATACGATCAACAAAAACTGAAAATAACAACAAAATAAATGTAACTATTAACAAAAGAGAAAAATTTTGTTTTTATTTGGGAAAAATTTATATAAACTTATAAAAGAAACTACTCAAAATGGGGGATAAATAAAAGACAAAGGAACAATTGTTATAAGAACAATTTCGGTTCTAGAATCTCTAAAGGCATGGCAACTTAAGTTGGTTTGCCTTTGGAGTAGGTAAACTGAGTGCAATAGAAAGGGACTAGGGGCTCTAACTTATGCAGTTCAACTAGTATTTCTGCAATCTGCTTTAAGAAATACTATATGTTAGATCACATGACTTATCGGATTTTGGTAAATCCAAGGGTTAATTTCCTAGTTTGGGAATAAAAATCACATTCGCGTCTTTTCAGCAGTGCAATATATAATCCATAGTAAAACAAGTCCTTAAGAGTTCGTACAATAGACCAAGAAAACTATCCGTGCTTTTGTAGTAATGCGGGAAAAATTACGGTATTTACAGGTTTACAGTATTTAAAGGAGTCACTTACCCATTTCATGTTGTCCCTGTCAAAAGTAACAAGGTACTCCGGCTAATATCATCGCTTTGTACCTTAATCGGATCGTTAATAGTTGCTTCTTGAAAAGGCGTTATTTGGTCTGCAGAGAACGGGTAACGTGAACTCTAATCGCACATCGTTCCACAGTCAGTTTGAACGATAGTTTGGATTGCTCTTTCGATCTATTCCACTTTCCTGCAGATGATTCCTAACGGTCTACGTGTAGATTTTGAGTACTTCAATACTTGATGCATACCACCCTACCACAATCAAGAGATTCTAAAAGCCCGATGCCAGATGACTCATTTGGATGCAGATTCATGTCAAGTCTTACTTCATTATTGATACAATTCGGAAATAAAAAAATAACCGCTTTATCTCACGATATTTTATTGATCATTAGAAGTCTAATTAAAAGTGAAAGTCTAAGGTATCCAGAGTTCGCTTATTAGACAGCAATTATCCATTGCCATTCATCTCTCGACACCTTGAAATTGATATCTAATTCAAGACGCATTTGCTTCCGTTCGACCGATTAGAATTAGCCAAAATCCATAGCTCGTATAGAGGATGTAATCGCACTAGTCGCAGCGTACCAGAGTTACGACACTTGCACAGCATACATTCTGTTATCTTGTTTAAAGTCAAACATACATTCTTAGTTTAAAGTTAAAGACGAGAATATCCTTTTTATCTTACTCTCTTGTCAGACAACAATAGGCTACACATTTGCATTAAATGTAACTAGTGCACATATCACTAATACCTCTGAAAAAAGATGATGAACATAATACAGAGTCTGCTGAGAAGTCTCTAGTCCAATTATGTATTTATCGAGACCGAAACCCCTATTGGACAGAATTAGGATCGAACTTAGAGAAGTCCTGACAATACTGATAGGTCAATAACTAGTTAGTACTCATGCATTAAGTTTGGATATCTACTTCAATCAGAAAAATAAAAACGGGAAGATCAGAAAAAGCAATTATATGAACTGGACATTTTTTGTAATATCCAGCCCTGCCTAAATCAAAACACTCCACAATGAAATTTACAAGCCTGGCGAACAAAGGGACAGTTCATTTTTTATGTCACCTTTGTTGGGAAGTGAAAAAAAAACACGGTTAGCTACAAAACCTGATTGTTGACTAACCAAATAAAACAGAGGTAAATAGAAAAATCAATCTACTAGTATTTATTTGTTCGATGTTCTACTCTTATACAATTATGCGGTATATATCATCTTATTTATAAAAGCGATTTTTTAATATATAGGTATTTGTGTTAATAATGATAATTAATCGAATTCGTGAATTCGTAACTTGACAACTAAATTTTTACATATATTTTGTATTTGTTTTGAAAATTCGCTTAACATAGTAAAGGCATCAGACGCGATAACATTTTATTTATTTGGTAAAATATTTTTATAAATTCTTCATTAAACTAAATATTTTTGACAGCATTACTGATTATATAAACCCTTAATATACTTATTACATCTTTTCCTGGCATTTTCTTGCTCTTATTTAATTTAAACCAACTCAAAAGCAGCTGTTTTGAATGCTGTTTATTAATTTCACCAAAAATAAATAATTGATTAAGTGCGTTCACACTCTCGAGGGTAGTTCAGTCTAAATACACCTATTGTAATTTATACCAATCAGTACAAAAACATTTTAAGTGTCACATCTAAAAACTGTGGTACACTGTTTTGCTTTTGTGACAGTGAAAATTTTCTAAACAATAGCGAAACATAAAATAGTGCTGCAATTTAATTAATTTAAACTGTGCAATAACAAGTGTATTTTATTCATATTTAAATGGCTTTAGCAAACGTTTTATCGTTGAGCCAAATAAGTGGGCACATAATATTAGTAATATTATCACTTTGTGTAATAACTCCGTTGGGCATAAATCTGCGTCAATTTAGGTAAATAATACTACATTGAAAATTAACATTAGTCATAGTGTTCACTAATAATATTTAATACAGTGGGCATTGTTTGTTATTTACGACTGGAAAATGGCGAGAAGAAGATGGTATGTTTGATGTAAAGTGGTCCTCGAATGGATTCTGCAATTTTCCTTTAATATCTGGAATCGTTACGTTTCTAATTTCTAGCGTACAAATATATCGGTAAACGATCATTTTAAACTCAATATATATATGTATATATATATATATATTTTATGTAATATTGTTCATAAAACAGTTTTGTGCGTATCAAAGAAGAAGCATCCTTCCTCTCACTGTTCTTAGACACAGTACTGGGTATTTTAATGATGACCATGTCGATAATGTCAGCAATAATGATAACTTTAGGTTTCATCGTTTGGTGTGATGGTATGACAGAGCGTTTTCCATCCTGCGAAACTTCAGCGGGACAAAATATTATACACGGTGATACACAAAATTTAGACACTTCCGAATTTTATATTGAAATGGGAACAGCACAGGTTTGTGAATATATTCATGAATATACAATTTTTAGCAATAATATATTTCTGTTATCAAGTTTGGTGCCTGGGGTTCATTCGCTATATCGGTGGGCGTTGGGGTGATTGCACTGTTAAAATTGATAAACAACCATCAGGTCAGAAATATAAAAGTCTCAATGTACTTAGAGCGCCAACGTTTAGTAAATGAGCATCTAGCACAGCTCGATGGACGGTCAACACCACCAAGCTCTTCGAATGCAGAGAGCAGATCAAATGAATAAATTATCGTTTAAAAATTTTTTGTATTTGATTAATGTAAGTAATTTATATCTATTATATATGTGTTGTGCAGTTAAAGACAATTGTCTTATATGTCTTTAAAATCTAAAGCCAGGAATAAGATTTGATATGGTATTTTGAAACAAATTAATTACAGAAAATACATATAAAATCCTTTGGCTATTAATTTATTATTTTCATGGATACTAGATATTATAACATATGCCGTTATTTAGCAATAATTTGTATATATTGTGATATTATTAAGGTTATATGCGAACATTATTTAATGTTAACTATTTCGATATATGACTAAATTTGTATATAAAATAAACAATTTCTCGTTTAAGATATGATTTTTTTTATTTAAATAAATATTTTACTTTCATCGCTATTAAATTTACTACAAATATGTAAATTTTCTCACTTCTATGAATGAAATACGTAACTGCGTTAAACGAGTCTAACTCAACTAATAACTAACGACGTAATAAATTTATATTATACAAATGTTATTACGTATAATAAGTATGTATTGAATTTGTATATAATTAGTGTATGTACGATAAGTATATAGCAAAAATGGGCGCTCTAATATTAATCTTATAATTTCAATATAGTTTTAGAATCAGTAAAATATTTCCTAATTATTTAATCAACGTCTTACTACATAATGCAATATATGAACTATATGAACTATTTGAACTAATCAGAGCAAATAACAGATATTTTGAAAGCAATGGCAACAACATTATTAAAGCTATATAATATAACACATTTCAGCGAGAATATCATATATAAAATATAATTTATAAAATTTATAAAATAGAAAAATTATAAATGTTTACTCCAAACAGTGTTAATATATATTGAATATGGTAAACTATAATTTTATACTTCAGCTGTATTAAAATTAATATGAATATTACAAGTTAACATAATTTTTTTTAATTACTTATAAAAAAGTTTTTAATATAATAAACTTATTTAAGTTGATAATAAATAATATAATATTTATAACAATAAGAAGTATTTAAGCAATTTTCAGTATGCCTTCAGTTACATACCCCTCCATCAATGTGCGTATGTTTATAATGAATGTTATTGTGTAGTTATTGTGTATCAAACATACATAAGTTAATTTAAAGTAATTGTGTTTCAATAATTCTTAAGCCAAAAGATGCTCAAAGCACGAACACTATGTGGCGGTGAGAACATTCCACTCAAAGCGAGGGTTCTTTGCATGTGTTACTGGCAAACAGTCCGGCTCAACAAATTTCCATGTATTATTACTCTCCTCGACAGTAACTAAACTGCAATATGGTATTTTGTGTATAACTTGACGCAGTTCGTCAGAATTTCGTGGATTCTCACCAATCAATTGACGCGTACATGTATCCAGTGTAGTGGCATGTGCAACAACAAATATATTGCCTTCTAGAATAACACGATTTTATTATGTGTATATCAATGTTTATTATGACCCATGACTATTACAACTTACTTGTAACATCAATTATTTTGCGTAAAACTTCATAGTTCCGTTTATAAAATTCTTCAGACGTTTCGTTGATACATTCATTGAGCTTGTCGACTGTCATAAATGGTTTATAGTTGGGATCGATGTTGAATTTTGCATCTGAAAGTTCATCGTAACTTAACCAATCCGGTGTACCCTCAGGATGCCAGTTCATGTATTCAAACAAGCCTGGTTCTAGCTTGATTGGATAATTACTTTTCAGCTTAAGTCCTATAAAAATTTAAACAAAAAAATTGAATAAAACAAAATTTAAATATTTTCAAAATATTTATGCAATTACATGATGTTATTACCATATATACTCAGGATATTCACAAGGTCTGTAAAAATTAACTCTTACTAGGTTAATTGGTAAATATTGTTTACCATAGGTCAAAATTACGATATTGGCAATTAATCGAATTGGTTAGTTAATAATATAATAATGACAATATCAATTGCTTTCAATTTCCATGCCAAATGGAAGGTGTACACTAAGAAGTTCTTAACACTTAGTAATTCTGGTAACCTTTTCATAACCTTGTGAATATCCTAATTATGATATAGAAATAAATGGTTCCTATTTAATTATTTGTGAAAGGACAAAGCATTCCAGTGCAAAGTAGGACTACATAGTTATTAAACAATATTTGACTTACATACAAAACTACTAAATAATTTCATAATACTATAATACTCGTATAAACACTGAAATAAAAGCCGCTAATTTGTCTAATTAGTGGCATTCACATACCCTCCAAGGCACTAGTGCAAGTCTGTATACAGCGATACGCTGGTGAACAAAATACGTGGTCAATATGCACATTCGCATCAAACATAGCTTCACCAGTTAGTTTTGCTTGGTAAAGACCAATATTGGTTAACGGAGAATCATTACGCCAACCTTTCGGACATTTTTTCCTGAAAAATCAATAAATATTAAATATCTCTGTTCATTTTGTGCGTTTAAGTGTATGAAAAAATATTATGAAAACCGAAACTACTTTCTCGCTAACGACTAATGTTTATGTCAGCAATAAATAATTAAAAATTCCTACCTTTTCGGCAACTCCTTTGGCATATTTAAATCCTGCCGTACATAATTATTAAATTCATCGAAGCAGTAGGGTATCCAAGTACCAAATGTAAAATCTACACGTTCACCATGTCTCATTATGTACACTTTGCGGTTTTTATTGCGCGCAGTTGACTCAGAGAAAAGGTTGGAATGAATTGAATGTGTGCTGAGGGTATCGTCTGGTTTTGCTGCTTCAGCAATAATTGGTTCAACCATGATATCCTTTTGTGGAGAACACATATTGTTAGTACTTATTTCCAAGCTGGGAGTATGTTGATTAGGATTGTTATTAAATTGTAGCGTTGGTAAGTCTAAGCACGGTCTTAAAGTTTTCCGTAAGTATTTTTCAACACTTTGTTCAGACTCCTCATTATAAGAAGACCCTTCAATTACCTCAGGATAGTTACCAGCTGTAATAATACATAATTTATTAAATAACATAGATTTAAATCTTTTGAATGACTAACTATGATGAGAATCTCTTGCACGTTCTTCTTGGTCAGTTGATAGACTGCGTCCATCCACAATATCAATTTCTTCTGCAGAAGTCAATGATGGTGTAACCGATTTTGATAGCTGTACGACACGGTGCAAAGTCCATGCATCCGATTCCGCTGTGCGTTCAGTGTAATTTACTGGTAAATGCCCTAAACTTCCTGTAAGCCATGAAACACCTTCAGCCCAACCGTCAGAAGAACTGTCAACGGCGTCACTATTTAGATATATATAATCGCCAATACGCAATTCTAATTCGTCGATTTCATGGGGTGTATGGGGATAAACGACTTTATGCACCTGGAGAAGAATAAAAAGAGATATGTTAGGATACAATATAGTTAGTGAAATGAGTGTAAAGGTTAGTGGATGCGTTTGTACTTGTTTTGTTGCTAGTCTGGGATCACGTGAGTATAGTCGTAGTTCCCAGTTGGAGGCGCAAGATGCGTCTAGTGTTTCCACTAAGGTTTTTAGTGCATTAAATTGGCTCTGCGGAAACTGATATGCTAAGGTCAAGTGCAGTGATTTCACGTGTGGCTCCAAGGAAATGGCTAAGAAAATAGAAAATAAGATAAAAAAATAAACAAAAATAACTTGCCTCTAGCATATATTAGCTTAACGGGATTTTAGTAAAATTTGTTAAGTGCTTAATTAGATGTTAATTTGACTTTTTGGCATTGACATTTAAACGAAATATCAACTTAATACATTTTAATATAATTTTTAAAACAATTACCAGATTTCGAAGGCCAACTTTGCTCTGTTTAGTTCAATTATCTAGATTTCTACAGAGCATAAGCACAATCAAATTAGAAATGCAACTACCAAATTTCACCAAAAAGCAAGCTGTATTATTCATTATAAATGATTTGCAAAAATTTATTTTTACTAGTGATTAATGTTCGATATATGTGGATAACTAAAAGATAAGATTAAATTAATATACAATATACAATATAGTAATTTAGAAACTGATAGAGAAAAGTTTGGCTATTCTATTAAACAAAAAACAAAACAAAACTAACATGCATGCAAAAAATAAAAGATATCTTAACAGAATTTGAATCTTACATCGACTGCTACGGGGAATGCAACGATTACCAGAGGACACAGCGCCACACCAAGGGAAACAAGCAACAATCGCGTCATCCAATTGCTCGTAGGTATCGCTTATGACTGTCAAATACCGTATAGCATATAAAAGATTACCCCAAAGAAGTATATCCATAAAAATCCAAAGAAAGCATTTCAAGTATAAAAAGAACAGCAAAATAATATTTGAACCGCAACCAAATTTCTAAGAGATTTAAAAAGGGAGCTATATGGGGAATCGTACTTGAATTTGCTGATTCCTTGACATACTGTAGAGCGATACGTTTAAGATAATTGGCATCGTCTTCAGCAACAAAAAAGCCCATAAAATTTTGGCTCATGTATAGTTCAAGTTTTATCGGACGATCCAGGAGACTACCAGCCATGTCAACGACCTGTTTTAATGCTTTAGACAATTGTAGAGAGCATTCATCAGGGGCCTAGCATTAAAGAAATACATTTAAAAAGTGTAATTCAAATAATTAATAATAATAATAACCTTAAAGAACGAGACTAGTGTAATATGTGGAACATAATTGTGCGCACCGTTCCAACCGCACAATAACCGCGACTTCGTCCAGAAATCTTCCAGAGCTTGCAAGAAAGGCCCTGTTGGGCAGACATAGAGTATATATTCTCGTGGAACACATTCGTCTAAAGTTGGATCATTCACATGAGCCAGTAACCAATCCGAGGCAATTTGCACACCGCGGTTGCCGGTAGCTGCTAAAGCTTTTTCACTGCATAAGAAAAAAATATAGTTTCTTATAAATTAGAATCAAAACTCTATTAATTTGAATAAAATGTTCACTTTTCACTTAGAAATCCACAAAATACACCAGATCACTTATTGCAACATTCAAAATTGTATTTATCAGAAGCTATTTTGTATTTTGTGGATTAATTTATGACGGTAAATTCCCAGGCAACATGTCAAACGTAAGCAAAAGTAATTAAATAATTATTTTAAACAATTGTTTTTTAAAATGTATTATAACAACAAAAAAAAACGTTTACTTATAAACAAGACTGAAGGAGATTTGATTGTGTGGTACCCTGTATTATTTATGGTTATGAAGAAATAATCAATAATCATATTCTGGTTATTTTAGAGACTTTACACTGTAATATATAAATTACACCAGCATTTTTTATTTTTCATATATATAATAAAAAACAAAACGTATCCCAATGTAGTATCACAAACTTACGCCCTATGCTTTTGAAAACCCATTTGCAACAAAGTTTGTATTGGTGTCAAATTTTGTTGCTTTGAGAGCCTTGTCGGCGTTGGATTTTTCCGCGGTGGCAAAGTAGCCATTTTGGTGTATTTAAATTTTCTAATTTTGTTTAACTTGAAAATTATACAATTTATTGAATTAATTATTGAATTAACGTTTGCGAAAACTGTGTATCTGTCCCGGATTATTCTAAGCACTCCTTCCGTATTGTTTATTGTTTTGTTGTTGAGCACACAAAGAAACGTCAAAATTTTTTGTTGACACAATCGCATGCACGCTTCTCTTTCTGTCTAATGTTTGCTTATAAACTTTGTGTACAGCATAAATGTACACAAAGCTTAGCAGCATGTTTACAAGAAAAAGCTGGGTTCAGCTTATTGTCGCTGCTGCCTACAGCCTACAGTCATGTTAACCAAACAGAATGAGCCAAAACTATTTCACTTTTTCTTCATACAAATTAAAATAATAATGTTTGATTTGATTTGATTTGATATGATATGTATATTTTAATAAGAGTACACAATTAAAATTTACATAAACGCATTGGTTTAAAAGTTTATTTTAAGAAATTATTTCATTAAGTTATAAATTACAAAATTAGATAATTAGATGAGAAATGAAATATCATTTAACTACAAAGTAAATATGTTTAGGCATTTCCATAAATTCTCACTTTTGGAGTTCAGCCATACTCGCTTCGAAGAGGGCTGTGTTGATTTTATGTTTGAGCGAGATCAGTATTTCGCGGTTGGTTATGCCCCGCATTTCATTGCCTACATATTCTCCATACGTAGAGAACTCATCTCGAATATTTGGTTGTGATTGCGTAGAGGTATTTTGCTGTGGTTGCAACAGATTTCCGTTGTTCAGTTGCTGATGACTGGGAAGCGCCTTCAGTAATGTTGAAGTAGCATTTGGTTGTGATGTGTTTGTTGGTGTCGTGATGAGAGTGTGCTGGTGTGCAGTGGTATTAAAAAAGAAGCGTTTTGTGGTATTTGCTGGTATAGCATGGATATGCTGTTGCGTAGACTGATGCTGGGACTCATCATAGTAATCATCTTCGTCGTTGCAAGTGTCACGTCTTTGGATTTTAATAATGCGGTGAGTCGGCATGGTATGTTGATGATGTAATGTTGTGTGCACACCTGGGTTGGTAGGATACGATAATTCTGTGTTATCGTTATGAGTTATATCAATCGTCTCCACGTTGTCTTCTTCATCCTCATCCAGGTTTTGGTTTCGATGATGAGTTTGCAACTCAACTCTATGTATAGATTCTTGTTCCTCGGCTGTGTTGATTTCATCACTACTATTTGCTGCGTGTATTTCAATTGGTATAATCTCTTTGATTGTTGCCATTTTTGGTTTGGGTTCTTCAACTTCTTCGACATCTTTCGTGGTTTCCTCTATAAGTTTTTCAAACTCTCGCTTTCGGATGCTTTGTGCTAAAGCTTGCGAAGGATTGCCGGCCGAGTCGTACGACAGACTAGGTTTTCTATTTATTGTCAGAAATTCTTCATTTATATTTGTTGTAGAATTAGCTGAGCCACCACTGCTATCGTGTTGTGAAACAGATTCCCTGATAATAAACTTCGTCGTTACTGTGCCTTCTTCAGTTATTTCTGATTTAACACGAGTTTTACTAGAACGACAAGCCTTAGGGGAGCTCAAGAATTGCAAATTTTTGAATCCAAACCACTTGGAATTATACGGTTCCTTACGCTTCATGCGGTTAATTTCACGATGATACTGTGTACGTAAAGTATGAAACTTTTTCTCGATTTCGTTAATTGGTATGCCACCACCTTAAAAAACAATTCAAAATTAAATATATTTATGAATCTTTAATTGTGCACTCAAAAGGCATATAGTACAATGAGTGTTGCCGTAGTAACCACAAAACTATTGCTATCAGAGTGCAATTAACAATTTTAGATTAATTTCACAATTTCTTTACCTAACGCGCCACTGACCTCCACCAATAACTTCTGCTTCATTTCCTTTTTACGATAGTCATCATGTGTCATATCCCAAAGGCCTCTGCGCTTCCGATATTCACTTATTAGGCAAAGTGTCTAAAATGTATATATAATTCACCAATGCCATTGGAAGCACTACAAATAAACATAACTACCTTTTCCCGCGACCACTCCATGTCCACTTGATATATTTCACCAATTTTAAATTCTTTTGCGCGATTAGAAATTAGATAAATGTTTTTATTTTAATATATTTTTCTCCAAACACAAATTTTGCATATTTAGACAAAATGAAATGTATGTACACAATAAAAATTGTAGTGTTGCCAACATTACTGCATAGAAACATGTATATAAGCATGTGTCGCAAAGGTGGGTAATACAAAACTAGATATTACACTTATTGCCAAACGCAGAAACGGGGGAACCAACAAAAAATAGTAGATATGTATCACTATATATATTCTACATATTATATTATGTATATTATACTATGTATGAAAACAATTATTTAATTATAAAAATGCCAAATAAAAAACATTAAAAATATGTTACAAAATAGCCAATCCATTATTTAATAAACTACCTAGCAAGGCATAAATGTAATATATTATAAATTATTTTTATATAAAGCGTTTTGTTTTACATAAAAAACACAAAAAAAGAAACAAAAAGGATTAAAAAAGGTTACAGGTATTAAAGAGAAAGATGTATATTATAAGAGAAAGAACACAGTACAATTTTAAGCACAATATATTTATTATTTTTTTTGAGAACATGAAAGATTTCATAAAAATAATTTTATTAATATAAATAAAAAAAATTAAATTTACATAAGAAAAATAAATAAATACAGTTTCTAATTAAAATTATAATGCTTCTTAATTTTTATATCTACATAAGAATATACTTAAGCTAAACTGTGAATAAATATATTGTATTTTATAAACAGGGAGCATAATTTGGTAACTACTAAGTCCTACTCTTAAGTAAGACAATCGGTAACTAATGTTGCTAATTGATAAAGAGTTACACATCATCAAATAGTCCACGAGGTGGTTCGATGCGTCGAGGAGTCTCTTCTTCGTCATAGTCGTCAAAATTGGTTATACGATTACCGCCTGTTCCTTTAAAACCAATTTGCACCTGCGTGCTTATGCCGAAACGATCATTGATTTCATCTGATAGACTTCGTGTTACAATGCCACCACTAGAAGAAACTGCAGCATAATCAAAATTATCACCATCACGTAAAAGTCCATCAGCTGGACTGCGCACACTGGTAGGTACTTGATGTTGACTAGGAGTGGTCATTCTATATTTTGAAATGTATTCATTTGTAGCCATGGCTTCTTCAGTGCGTGTAAAACCACGCCGCCTTGTCACGGCCTCCTCAGCCCTTTGCCTGCGGCGTTTTTCACGTGCAATTAAATCCTTTCCTTCCTGCACAAGTTCTGTAGCAATAGTTTCGTTTTGAAGGAACTGCTGAAAGCCTAAGGCGTTGAGTGCTCGACTCCCTAGACTAAACCAAGTAGCTAGACAAAATGCTAACATACACATTGGAAAGTATATATTGAACCCGTCGGAAATTATGCCTAAGACATCCATGTGACCCATAATTTGAGTGTAATACGTTTCCATAATACGCTGAAATTAAATATTATTATGCTATTTTATTTACAGAAAACATATTTTGATATTTATAAATACTTCTCGAATGATGTGTGAATCCATGTGAATTAGACCTAGAAAGTTCAAGCACATGGGTGGTGTTAGTCTACACAATAGCATACCACTAAATATTAAACTATGCTCGTTAGTTTGATGGTGTGGTGCCAGATAATACAAATTTAAAAATCGTATACGCAATATTGTAGAATAAGTACAATAAAATAGATAACCCAGCACAATCATCGAGACGACTTCTATTGTAAAGAAGTCGTAGTTATCGCTTTCACTGATAATATTAGCGAAAATGGATAATACTGGTTTCACATTAAAAAAAGTCAATTCACTCCATACCACCATAACCGACATTGTTGCTGTTATCACGCAGAGCACTTTAAGAAAGGGCGCTTTCAGCAAACATTCCCAATACCACTGTATTTTTGGATTATATATTACATTAAACAATGGTGAACGTTGTTCCGGAAACTCTGTTTTAAAATAATGTTCAGCAGAATGCAAATTTCGCGCCACATCTTCTAAATGCAAAACGGTAGTCACCTGCACACCCCACAGAGCTTCACTGCGTTGCAATGTTTGCAAGGATTTTATAACTTGTTTGTGTACGCGCACAAGCGCTTTTTCTGATGGCACAATAGTGGATGTACCGGTATTGCTTCCGCCACGCGTATAGTTACGATTCGCTCGTTCCTGTAATTCAATTGGTACTTTTCTTAATATAGTCTCGACACATGGCCGCAATTCATGATTATTGGGTACGGTACGACTTATGCCTTGTAAAGATTCCAAAACGTCATCGACGTTTTCTTCCGCTTCAGCCTTTTCAGAGCTCAATTTTGCTGCTTTAAAGTAGGCGTATTGCAGCGCAAATCCTGGCTTGGCATTATTCCATAAAGATCGAGGTACTTCTACTAGTGCATACCCTAAAATTATTATATTTTACAGATAAATTATTACAGATTTAATGAAATTGCATAAAATTTACCTAACAACAATATTAACAGAAATAAACCCCAGGTATTGGATGCAGAAGATGCAATAGCTTTAAGTTTCTGCCAGTCTAACGAAACCCCTTTGCATGCAATATAAATTAATAATACGCCGCATATAAACAAATATGATCCATAATAAATGGCATTCTCAATTAGTGCAGACTTTAGTTTTCCTTTAACGTTAAAATCGCCTGCTTTTAAGTACGATTGCATTAATGGCATAATCAACCATGTTAGAAACTGCGAACTCCAGTATATGAGCCGCCATAAGTTTGGAAATACCTCTGGCGGTATCATTCCCCAAGGTTCCTGACACTCCTCATTATCAGCTCTGTGAAGTTGATTAGTGTTCTTCTCGCTGAGATTAGTTACTCGCACGGAGGTGTCATTATGCTTTTGCAAACATTGTCGGTAAAGTGTCTAACAAACAAATTACTTATAATTATTAAGACTTATAATGTATTTTTCTATGAAAAATTCTCACTTACCGTTGTCACGTCAAACGGTATAGTAAATACGATCAAAAACGAAAAGCACCAAGCTGCCAGTACTGATAGGGTGACCAAAATGTGCTGACGCTGTATGTTCCCATAACGAAATAGTGATATACCAGCCAAAAATAGTGCAAGGCAAACTGAGAATGTTAACAAATATGCCATTGTGACCTAATTTGCGACGATTTATTTTCTGTTAAGTTGCTGATTGCTGGGTGCTGTCTTCTTCCTATGTAATTAACAGTTGCTATATTTTTAGGATGTTGAGTTTTTTGAATCCACAACATTTGTTTCTAAAATTTTCTTTTGCAACTCTTTTGCAGATTCAAATTGCATGCTCTCCAAGCGTTCCAGCGCTTGCGATTTAATAGGCATTAATTGAGGTTTACAAAAAATCAGCTCAGATTTGTGTTCAAAAAATAGTTTACCGGTAGTTGGTTCTATCAAATCGATTTTTTCAAATTTTCGGTTAAAATACTCCTCCGACATAATCAACAAAAATATATATCAACAAATGAGGCGAAAGATACTAAAACAACCTTTCTGCGCCAGAGACTGGGTTTTTTCTTTATATTATTCCTCATATAATTATTTTTAACATGTAATCTCTGTAATTAATTCCAAAAAATTAATTCAATATCTTTTACAAACAAACCAATCGTAATTGTAACACAAAATAGTTGCAGAATTTAAACAATGTTTTCCTCGCAATATTTTTATGAAAAATTCAATACTTCCAATACTTAAGACCAATCAGATTTATACGTATCTAATAACTCAATGTTTCATAGCCTGTTCCCATGTGCAAGCATGATTGAACATACACAACAATCCTCACTACACTCTCAAATATTTTATTGAACACAAATATTTGTGGACTTATACTACGTTTACATTGGAGATTAATTTTGATGCTTCTCTTATTTTGTGTTTTGTTTTGTGTGTGATAAATTTTTGTAAATAAAGCATTTATCACAATTTTGTATGAAAAAATTGTAATATATATTTAATAAATTGTTTTATAACAATAATTTAACAAATTTTAGTTATAATTATGTATTTATTGTTTATTTATATGTTATGTAGTTATATGTTGAAGCTATTTGAGCCAGTACACTTGAGCACTTTTACTCTCTATTAACTCGAGGTATCTTCACAACCGCTCTTTACGCCTTGACTGGATTATTGTTTATTACTTCATCAGACTAAGCAATAATTGATCTCATAACTACATATCTCCTCGAGAAGCCCGTAACCATTCTGAGATTCGATAACGCGGTGTTGGTAAGTCTGTCGGTTTTCACAAATAATTTCAGGGCTCTATCCATTATGTATTTTTTGATCGGATCAATCTTGAGGTCCCTGAGGATGTCATTCGTCTTAATGTGCCATGGTACCTTGAAAAGTCTTCTCAGAGCCTGACTTTGTGCAATTTATAGCTGGCGAATAGTAGTGTTTAAAGTTTTGCTAAACGCCACACATCCATATAGAAGTGACGGACGAATTATTAGGTTATACTTATACACAAAACTATTATTAAACATATTTAATAAAAATTTAGTCACTTCGGCATTTTCAAACTTTCAAAATTTGTTTTGAATAGATTTTGACATTTCTCTTCCAATTCTACTAAGATCGTAAAATAATTTACGATATTAAGACATGTACAGCGTTGCACAGAAAAATAATCACCATTTCAAAGGAAATTAAAATTTAGACTCGACCAAAAGGAGATTAACTTTTGTATGGGAAATCTGAGACTAAACAACGAGATTAGTACTTTAATCTCGATTATTGCTTTAATCAACTTTTAATTTAACAATATAAACGCCTTATAACGGTTTTTCGTATGGATAAATCTAGATTAAATTTTGACATAAATTTGACACCTTCAGATCAAATTTTCGTTCCACTGCCAGAAAATATTAATTTATTTAAATTTAAATTGGATTCTACGTTTTTCTGAAATATTATTTTCAATCTGTTTTTAGGATTACACATATGATTATACATATTTAAAACAGCTGTTCAATATCAATTTGAAATGATTTGTATATTAAAATAAGATAAGGTAAGGTAGATATGCATGCACTCATAGCTAAAGAAATTTCAAATAACTTAGGTTCTTTAACATACAATGAAACTTAATCCGATAAGGAATTTTTACAATTACATATTTATAGTTAGATATTTTGTGACTACAGTTTGTGGCTGCCGTATTCATATAACGCATAATTTGGATTGCTGTTAAATTTATTTTTATTTTCAACTATTTATCTTATTCGCAATGTGCTTGAAAATTATTTGCTCTTTGGTCTAGATGTTCATACAATTTACAAAATATATATATTAAAACATAATACATCCGAAAATGTAAGATCAGCCATTGCTAAATTTTTAGGTAATTTTTATTTATTAATAATATTAGTAATTACTGTATAAACTTTATATGGTATGCTAACTGTGCTAAGCTTATTATACTACAATTATTTAACATTATTTTCTATTTAGAACTTCTAATAAAGATTGCTAGTACTTTTCACAACTATTTACTAATCTCTTCAACAAATCTTTTCGCGCTCTTGAATACGATGCCCGTTACTCTCATTTCTCTTATTCTTCTCTCTCATTGCTTGTAACTCCTGTAAAATGCACTCTGTTTTTCTTATATTTGCAGATCCTCCAGAAGATGGTGTTTCAACCGCAGCAATGGAATTCATATCTGTAGAAGGGTTATGTTGCAGCAGTGAACAAGCTTCTCATTTGTGATTTTTGACCCAAATCAGTCATGTGAGGCCAGTGTAAACGCCATAATAGATAACTTTAAGTTTTTTTTTTTAAAGAACTTTCCTTAATTTAAATTATGCAACATAAGTCAAAAGTTTGTAATCATAATTACTGGGGAAAATAATTATTAAACAAATGGGATATGGGATTACACTTATGCATATATAAAATGAATCTTTTGAAAAATAAAAAGTTTTATTTTATTTTACTATTATATAAAAAATTAAAAGTATGACTTTATTAAATATAAAAAAATAAATTTCCTCCATAAAATTATCGTAAATCCGCACAGTATATTTGCTAAATACGGTCTAAATATATTCAAAAAGTTTTTGGCATTAAATGCAACACTGCTTATTTATTTACTTTTGCATATTTCTTGTTTACATATATATTTATTACTTCGTGTAAAGAAAAAGTAGGTGAAATTGCTATATAATTTATTAAAAAAATCATCAAAAATGGAGGGAAATGTTGCAATGGATAAAGGTATTTAATTAAATATTTTTCAAGATGTTTACAAACGAGAATTTCTGAATCATTGTAGTATGTAGAACAAGCGGAGATGGTATGGAAGAAGAAACGACCTCACCGAAAGTCGATCCAAATAGCAAAGACAATAATGACTCTACAACAAAATTAGATACGTCAGCGCAGTTACCAAAGCAAAAAGATAACTTATTGGAAGAGAATGTACATATTCGTAAACCATCTGTTAGTAGCACTAATAGCTCGAACAATCTCTTACCCGGTTTGCATTCATTATACAGACGTCCAGAAACAATTATACGAAGTTTAGCTCCTGTCATTCCTACTGGAGAACTCGTACAACTAAAACCACGATTAATAACAACCCCTGTTAAACCACAACATAAAAAAACAAAGCCACCCAAATTTGTGCCATATGAACCGTATCCAGGAGCAGTGAATCCAATAGTGCCAAATTCTAACAGTGGCCACAGTATGCCAAAGGGTTATAGAATAAATAGAAATAATTTAGATATTGGAGTACTTGTTGACCATATGTCTACCATGCGAACGCAAGAACTACATGCGGATACAAACAACGAAACTTGCAATGTAGATGCTACAAATACTACAAATGAGGAGCTTCAAACATTGAAAGCGGAACTTAAGAAAGTAAAGGAGGAACGCGACTACTTTCAAGGCCAATTTAAGTTTCAAACTCAAGTAAATTCAGAACTTAAAAATCTACTAGTAGCCTCTGTTGGCGAGGATCTACAAACAAGAGTTAATTTGCTGACTGAAGATAAATTGCAGTTAGCAAGGGCATTACTAGATACCGCCAATAATTTAACAACTCATACGGTTAATATATAAAATATTAGTATTTGCATTTGTATAGTAAACTTTTTAATATTTTATATATAGGAACAAATTGAATTTTTGGCTGGTCAGTCTGAGGTTTGGCGGTCAAAATTTCTAGCAAGCAGCGTTATGGTCGAGGAATTGGCTAGATGGAAAGCGGATTTAACACAGAAAAATCAAATGCTCAATGAATCTACTAAACGTCTTCTACACTGTGTTCATCAACTACGTGAAATACAATTAGAAATTTTGAAGAATTTGAAGTTTATAGCTAAAATACGTTATTTAAATATTCCGTCTACTGATGTTATCAGTTTGAGTTCGGAAAATTTAAACATATTGCAACAAATGGTCTTACATTCTGGAGTTGGTATACCGGATACTAATTTAAGTATATCCAGTGCCAGCACTAATCCTTTATGTGATGCTGAGAAATACGCAGTACACGTAAGTTTCCAATAATTTATTTATGAATTTCAACATTCCGTAATAATTTTCAATATATATAGGCGCTTGAATTTATTAGCCAACCACTAATGGCTACTGACGAAGCTATACGCGCTCTGTTTGGCCAGACACAGCGATCCTTTGGGGGTACCTCAAATTCAAGTATACACAATTTAGAACAAACGCCGAATAACGTTGATGTTTGTTCTTAGAAAATGGTTTAATATCTTGCAATGGTGTTGAATAATTATTGTGATTTTACCTTAAAGCAATGGATTATACTTTACTGGTTTTTTATATAATATATACTATCATTATTAAAAAGTGTATAAAATATATAATATATATATTTATAAAATAGTAAATATATGATTTTTTTGTTATCGAATCAATACAAATTTTGCATAAATATTCTAATATATACATACAAATCACATGGTTTAATTTTTGAATATATTTTTATTATAAAGAATACTTGAATTTGATACTACTTTTTGGCAGTGTTTAAAATAACTTAATTCTTTCTTTCAAATAGAATTTGAAATGGTTTATTCTCTGGTGGCTGCAACCAATTTCCTTCTGAATATTTAACATTATTTTCAGTTTCAATAACATGAAAAGTGTAAGCATGACGACTTTTCCTTGACAAATTTGGCTCGCTCTTATGTATAACATTGCCATGTATAATGACGCAGGTACCTGAAAGAAAATGGACTGATAAAATTTTTTCAAAATTTTTCAATATTTTTTATTTTACCTTTGCTAACTGTCAAAGGAATGAAATTGTTTTGAGGGTAGTCTGGCGCAGGTCTATCATACATCATAAGCTGCCTTGCTTGCTTATCGGTGTTGCGCAAGTATCGTCTATGAACGCCACTTTTGTGTGAACCTGGTATAAACTCTAAGCAACCGTTTTGTAGAGTGCAATCTTCTAAAGCAAACCAAAACCCAATCGCAGAATTAGGTTCAGTATGCAAAAACCAGGAATCCTGATGGGCTATCACTTCACCTCCAATTCCAGGATTTTTGTATATATACATGCTCTGACATACTGCTGGTTTATTATAATTTAACTGCCAGCAAATATCTTTTACTCGTTTACTAAACGTAATTTTCTCAAAAGTTGGATGCTCAACATGCAAAGCATGGCCAACCTTATTTAATGCACACATAGGATCAACTAGTAGCTCGCCATCTTCGTTTAAAGCACCTTCTTCAAAGAAGTAGCGTACTTTATCACCTGATTCCAAAAAGTACGTTTCCTTACTATGTGCGTCCTCACATTTTACAGTACTAAATATTTTACGATTTGCTTTAGGTGCCTCGAGACACAATGTACGTCCAGCCTTATATAATTCCGCAACTTCGTCCTCCGTAAGAAAATTTTCCAGAATTATGTAACCCTTTTCATTGATCTGTAAAAATACAATATATTCTTCTTATTACACATTCGTTTTGAAGATTGAAGAAAACAAAGGTAGAAAGCAGAGAGAAGAAATAAGACTATATGTATAGATGGTTGTGACTTTTGTGTGAGATATATAAATATACTGCAATGACCTTGAACTGGATTTAAAATACAAGTTTAAAAGCTCTTCTTGTGCCTATTGTGCGTGCTGTAGAAATTTGTCGTTTATATGAATTGGACAAGGGAACCTTGAACGAAATAAACTAATGTCTTAAATTCTTTGTTAATTCTTTGTGTTGTGACCTCTTTGCTTTATTCATTATATTTTCATTTTAGGGTGTTGGGAACGAATGGTTGAACGCAACCACAGAAACGTTACAACCTCGGTGTTGGAGCCAAAAAGTTTGTCAGTAGCCTGTCAGTATAAGCAAAAATTCGGAATAGCAATCCAAAATCAACCGCAGCTCTTTATCGATTGTCTGGGCTCAGCGATCATTTTGATTCGAGATGCGGTTCTGTCACTGATCTGTCCAAACGCAAAGACGAAAGACATTGGAACAAAAGAGATTTCAACTTGTTCTTCAACAACTTTGTCAATTGTGTTGGACGTCACTCTCTCAACTTTACTTCGGACAACAAACGCTGTACATGCATTGTAATTTTTCTCTGATACATATAAAGATAGAAATAAATGATATAAAATCAAGGTAGAAGAAACTAAAAAAGAATTGATTGTAATAGACGAATGACATTATGACGTAGACCCAGTGTCTGTTGAAATCGTTCTGGTTATTTAATTTTTCAAGTATTTGTATTGTATTACCAAAAAAAGAGAGAGAAGATGCTTTTACTAGTTTCTATTATTTGAGGTAAACTTTGCGAATAATAAGTAGAATCTTATAGACTTTTATAATATCGCCGATTTTTATGTATGTGCTGAAAACTTGGTGCCATAGTTGCTGTCGTGTATATTACACCCACATCCATTACAATTTCTTATACAAACAATATTGTTACAAATATCATGATGTATATCAACAAAAATTCTTGATTTTGAGCAAATTCGGAATTGCAAGTTTGGAAAATGCATTTTTCGTAATAGATAAAAATCTTAAAGTGACAAGTCAGATGAATACTGAAAGTAGTCTTTTCTTAACAACGCATGTAATTGTGAATGCAATAACCTATTTTTAAAATATCTACTTCACTTCTAAATGACCTTACATATTGGCCATTATTAGGTCGAAAAACTCCCAAACGTTCTATTTCATGAACTTCGTTAAAGATTTTAAGTGATCTTTGTTGAGTGTCTGCTTTATAAAATGATGAACTTCTCACATTCTGAAATAAACTGATATCAAATCGTTTGTAGTCTTCCAAATTATCTGTAAGAAATTTTTCTATTTCTATTTTCTATTTTCGACATTGGTTTGCAGTTTTCATATTTGGTAAATGTATTGCTATCAGTTGTCGAGTAAACTTACTTAAATGCTATTTAACACAGGTACCTACACCTGGTACCTGGTTGCCTACAGCTCAAAACAATAGTAAAAGTCCTTCTGAATTTGATCTTAAGACATACATGCATTCTAAGAATACCTTTCGAACTTTATTCTTCCAAACATTAAAGCAATTGCATATAAGTCCTGCTCAGGTTCACACTAGTAAGTTTTACTTCTAGTACAAATTATTATTATAAAGCCGTATTCCATCAGGAACATAGTCTATTTACATAGAATCGCCAGGTATTTCTATTTAATACTAAATATCTTAATTCGTTAAATGATTTATTAGTTTCATGCCAGATTGTTCTTCTCCAGGTGGTACGAGGCCTGCCGGGTTTTCGGTTGCCTTAAGGTTTCCAATATAAGCGGTACAAAAGAAGCGGTATTATTAGGTGCTATTGAAAATGCATTTGTATGCATCGCAGTATCTCAGTATCACAGAGTTTATTTGTAATTTCCAATTGTTTGTGAATTTGGTACGTGAGCCAGTAAACGAAACTGAAATACTTTAATAATTGGTGTCTCTAATGTTGTTTATTACGGCACGTTTCTGTGTTATTGTGTATTCACCATCATTTGTTGTGAATATTTCAGTTAAATGTGAGATTTACAATTCAATGAATTTTTGAATTGCGAATCGGATGTGGTGCAGTGACCCCAATCTCAATTTTTTATCTTTTTTCTATAACTTTAATATTCGATAAGAGCTATAAGAGCTTTGAGTTTATTTCTATAGTGGATCTCTAATTATATATATTTATATATTTAAAAATAAATTAAATTTGAATATTTTATTGTTAAAAATTTAAATTAATTATAAGATTATTGAATAAAAGGGAAATACAACATTGGTCGAAAATCTCTATTTCTGTTTTAACTTCCCACATATCTTTAACTTGAACTACTCAAAAAAAGGCAATTTTAATACGAAAATCCTTTAAAAGAGGTTCATCATTCATTATTTATATTAAATATCACTTCCTCAATCGATAGTTTGTAGCACTACTATTTTGGATAACCGCCAAGCGGACGCAGACGGTGGCCATTAATAACTTAAGTCACAACTGAATGTTTAAATACCAACCTCATCCAGTAATTTGCTGTGCATTTTTATTATTTAATACCCGTCTATATATGTTATAGCAGAATACGTGTGTTTATTATTGGTATGACACTTTTCACTATACAGACTATTTTCTGTTTAATATTTAAAATGATATTATTTAATATTTAATATTTTTGAAAATTTACATAACCGACTTGAGAGCTATTCAACAGTGAAGCGTTTAGTTTCCAACTGATATAAATTTTGGAAGTGAATTAAAACTACAGGTCGGTCTAGTTGGTTGAGCTGTTAAAACTCGTATATATGCACGCACACTCGGACACAGGCGGAACCACTTATTGTCAGACGGAATTTGAAATTTAAATTTAAATCAGTAAATCAGTACAGAACATTTGAAGAGAGCGAGCACATAACTACAAAAACAACAAAAACAATAGCAGCAATTGTAAACATATTATACAATATCAAACATGTGTTATGTTGATAACAGCCAAGCAGTAACAGCACGAGCAGTAATCTTGAACTGCTTTTTATCAGGAGCAGTTGTGTTGCTTTAAGGCCCTGTACCGCGCTTATACATAACACAAGTTGTTCACATGAACATTACATCTATAACAAGAGACTTTTCTATCAAAAAGTACGGCCATGGCCGGGCACTCAAAACTATCTACTCAATTATCAACACGAATATAAGAGCTGTGCCTTTGCGTTGCTGTTAATACGTATTACATATATATTAATCATTATCTACTTCAGTCTACTTAGGCTGAATTCCGTAGTAATAAAAAAATTTATTGTGCCCTAATCAATTGAAATTTTTAAAAGCAACATTTTAACAGATCGTATTCTCATATAACACTAGCAAAAGATTTGCTCACATAAAACCTTACTTAGACTCACTTTCACATAGGAATGTAAAGTCTGGTCATTGAAAAGTAGTAACATCGCGCAGCTGCTGCAGGATCTTTAGATATATATGTGCCTCTATAAATAGTTATCAGTGTCAGCCCATATTACATGAAAACACATAGCTCAATTAGGGTCTGTGCTTGGACCGATTGGAACACCACAAATTTGTGTTCCAAGAAATCAGAACATTTAAATGACACTTACCAAAGGGAGAAGACGTTATCTGGAGAGCGCTGGGCGGCGGTTTTATAAAATAGACGAAATAGATGTACTTATTTCGTAAGAGTTTACTTAAATGTTAGTATATTGGTAAGAGTAAAAAGGGGGCGTAGTTAATTTATTTATTTAATAATTTCGACTTCAATCGAAAAAATCTTAACCTTATAATTAAAACCGTCCCCGTATATTCTACTAAGTGCACTTGACTGCAATATGTCAGCATAAAAATGTCGAAGTTATTTTCTGTATGAATGGAAAAATTTCCATTAAAGGCTTACATCCACACGTACTAACAATAAAACTAATTCTTCGTAGAATTCCAGAGAAGTTGTACGTGATTCCAAATATCGGTCATGAATGCATTTGTTATTGTATTTTATGTACATATATGAAACAAAACACATCTATTCATGCACACGACTCTGGTTGTGGCGACATGCGTGATCGATCCCACACATAAGGAACATTTGGAAGATTACATAATTTTTTAGCTGATACTATGCATTAGTTCAAGGTACTTCACAAACATATGTACATATATTTTTGCAGATATACGAGTATAGATACATTGAATTCGTTCCATTTATACTAATTTGTTTTTACATTTATCTAAATATGAGTATATATGTAGTTATTGTAGATATAACTTTAAAATATGCACATTTGTACCACTATTATTATTAGAAAAATCTCCAAATCTAATATACACATAGACTAAGACTAGTTCAAGACTAGTCAAGACTAGCAGGACAAAAAGTGCATAACTATAATGGTAGATAATCGTGATTTTTAAGTTTTAAAATGAATTTATTTAAATATTTATTACTTTACGTAGCTAGTACGGGACAAAGAGTATATACTTCAGAAAGAATAATTGACTTATAACTTTATCGGCATCGATTAATCGGCATCGAGACTGTGGGTTCCTAACATAGCATATCCTACAAAACCATTAGTAAAGAATGAATGCATATGTAAGTAATAACTGGAGGTCCCTTTGTGGAACTAGAGGTTTTTGTTTTTGCTAAGTTAGCGATCCAACTAATATCTACCAGTAGATATTAGTCAGAGATCTTGTTACTCGGTCATGATTGGTAAATAGTATTTCAAATCATCATAATAACATGCAAAAATGATATTTTTAGAGATATGAAAAAATGTGAATTTCTAATATTATTTTTTGAAATCGAAGCTAGTCATAGAAAACCCTAACGTTTGTATCACACAAGAGCTTGACACAATGAATAAACTTAAATGAATAGATGTTACACTGTCATTAATAAACAATTTGCAGTCTTCATACTCTGAAAAAAGTTTGGACCTACACTAAATTGGTTATTGAATTAATGTGTCAAAGAAACTTTTCTCAGTGGAAAAATTTCAATAGGACTAGATGTAATACCGGAGGCCATAGTGAAAAATATGCAATATCTAGGATGATGTCAGCCAATAGTTGCTATTGCAAAGACTGTTTTTAATAGATATTTGCTGAATTATCAGAAAATTTTTAGAGATGCAGTAGGTGCATAAAAAAGTTACTCATAATATATAACCACCTAATAATATTTACGTTAAATGGGTGTAAAGCTTGTGATTATAGATAGTATAAGCTCAAAAGATCTTATAACGAATTTTCAGGTTCGTAAGTGTCTTATCCATTATTATCAATGCAGGTACTTACAAGATTTACCTGGTCCAAATTTGACATTTTTTGTATCAGTCAGATACTTCAATTAAACTTGAACCAGTTTATTGGTTCGGAATCGGGATTAGAAAGTCTGCGTATTAGAAAGGCTTATAATAAGACTTTGTCTACCCGTTATCTCTTTTGTCGCGGTGGTGCCTTTGCAGATGGAAGAGTTGGTTTATGATTGGCACTCATGTGTCAGTGCCAATCATTATAGAAGAGAGGATTTAAAATTGTTAGGCCTTTTTTTTTTAACTGATATGTCATGTTATTCTTTAAAATTAAAGATTTGGACAAGTTTATAGTCTTCCTCAGTTTGACTCTCTTCTATTCAATTGGAGAAGTAACGCTTTTGCAAAGAATAGTGTGCATGAATTAAATTTTTGGAACTTCTACCTTTGAAGTTGTTAAGATCTGGGTGCCACTCATGTGTCATACCACAAAGGATTATTATTTCGCTGCTTAAGAACTCAAGAGAGCTTTGATGCACAATATTAGTAATCCAACCTAAATTACACTTATTGTAACTAAGACGAAAAAAGTGAATAAAAATAATAATAATGATTAAAATTATGATTATTTTAAAAATAAAGTCTTAGTTCTTAAAGAGTAAATTTGTTTATCATATATAAAGATCTCAATAGATTACGGGTAATTGGTTGATCATAAATGATATAAGTCCCAAGGGCTTATATTATTAAAATACTACGGTCTAGGTAAACGAGAATGAACTGAATCTAACATTTAGAAGGCCAGAGATATATCGTAATAATTTCTCATGATGAACGCTCAACAAACCATAATTTTCGAGGTAAATTCGTGTGAATTCGTGTAATTTTTTTAACATTTGCATTGAATTAGTATTAAGTATATAAATATGGGAAATTTAAATAAATTAAATATGATTTTGACACTTGTTTCAGTAGATTTCGAACATTAAGTAAGAATATTTGTTAGATAATAAAATAATGCAGCTACTTAAAATTCATAGCACTGCAAGCGAATATGAACATCTATGGCCTCGAAACAAGCTAAGAAACAAATAAATAATTATATTTTCTAAGAAGTATCTTCACCCAAACGGGAACTTTTTGATTTTATTTGCACGACCAAGGACATCAAGTCATTGTACAACAAATATTTGTTTGGCTTTATCTGATTATTAAGAAGAATTATGCTGGCGAATGCATAATTTCAATTCCTCACATCGGTTGAAATGATCAAAGTCATATATCAGTTTCACTGAAGACTTGATGCGATAGGATCACCAAACCAAATACACCTACTAGTATTGGAGTGTTAATATCGTTTGGGTTTAGTAAGCTTCCATTACGCGTAATGTCAAAAAAAAATGGAATTTAAATACATATTAATGAAACCTTTGCCCACAAAGCCGATGTTACTGGCTATAGCTTTTTATGAGTTTGTTTACATTTGCTTGTCTTTCACACATAATAGAATAAATTACGGTTTGGTCACACGATATGATGTTGATGTGAAAGTAATGGAGGCACGTACGCTGTTTATAGCTTCTGTGTGCTTATTCTGATAATTGAGTGCTATAAACAATTTCGACTTGATAAGAACTCGACACCGGATTGACCTTTCTAGTTGAGTTGCGATCACTTTCACTGCAAATTTATAGCGAAATCGGAAAACCAAATTAAAAACAAATGCACGGGTAGCAGCCTATATCGATTAATATTTATCTTATTTGGAATCGAGTATGTACATGTTTATTAAATTACTAATTATTTGTCGAAGGAAAATAATTGTATACAATATTAAGGCCATCATATTAAGATTTAGTCACAGTAATAAATTATATTTATTTATGTATAGATAATCGTACGAATAAGTCATAACTTGCATTAAGTGACTAGTTGTATCTGTAGCAATTCTCACTGTCTATTATCGCATAAGTGCTACAAGATATTAAATGAAGTTTACATGTCATATTAATCAGTGAAGAGATAAGTATACTGATTGCTTAGAATCACTTTTGCAGCTTAACGATTAACACTTTTTAGTAACCATTATTTATACCAATGGAAAAAAAGAAGACGACATTGAACTCTACCAAAAAATAAGAGCTTCAAGGTAAATTAGACTAAAGAATCTAGATATAAAGATTGCGAAAGCAACTGTAAATTACTAAATGAAATGGTTGGCTGGTTTTGATAGCTATAAAGCTTCCTCTTCTGTTTAAATAACTCATAAGTACCGTTTTGTTAAAACCAACCTGAGATATAAATAAAAGACATTATTCTTTTGAAAACTAAATTTAGAGTGTGTGCTTTATTTTATAGTTCGTAAGCCCTCATATTCGAATGCCTTAATCTAGCCATATATGGGAATTTGGAAAATAAGTGGTTTTTTTTCTTCCTTTCTGCAGCTTCTGGAATTCTGGTTAAATGGGATGCAGCCACGATTTTTGGCACTTCGATCATGGGCATACCCAGAAGGAATCTTGTCCCATAAATCCCATAAATTGAAGCTTGGGTATGTTTACTTAGACGTT